CGCGATGTGTTATCGGTAACACATTGGACAAACAGCATCAAACATGGCTTATTAAGCAAACTTTGATCAGAACTTTGGGTATGTATGTAGCAGTTGGTTTTTCATAGATCTTTTTGGATTTCAACCTCCACCTTCCTTGTTCGGTTTGAAGCTGATTCTTGCCCTCCACAGCAGAGTGATACTGCTCTCTGAGAAACGACACGGTATAAAAACTTTTTTTGAACATTTCTTTTGCATTAGCAATATTCTTACACCAAATTGAGACAAATAGTCGAACTCACGTATTTATCAATATCAAGTACTTTGTACAAATCAATTAACTATAATGCAGTTAACTCATTATAACACCTTGGGTTGACGAAACAAGGAAGTATAAAATCGAGTGCAGATAACCTAGATAAAGTCTGTGTAAATACTTCACATTTAATATGGCTTGGGGCGAGATTATCACTTTAAATCTCAGACTCTGCACATTTAGACAGCTTGAATGCATGGTGAGGTAATTTTTGATCCGTGTCTGTGCTGTCTGGCGCTCGGCATTAAGGGGTTAAAACAAGGACTGGTCGGCCCGGACTCAGTATATTGTGTCTGAGTGGGGTAGTCATGTTAAACTGCGACATTGTATCTCAGTGGGCTAACACTCAAAATCGGCATCAGTCTGGAATAGTCCAAGCACACACCCACACACACACACACACACACACACACTATCTCTTTATAAGTGCAATAAACTTGGAGGCGATGTTACACCCCATTTCACCTCACCTCACCAAAAAGTAATATAAGGTGCGTTGTGTACTGTTCGTACCTAATCTCAATTTTGAGAGTATAATAACATTTAAGGATGAAGTTTGACGATAGTCATCCGATCTTTATAAGAAATCATTTATCAAATCATGTATTGTCTGTAGCTCCGTAGTTGTCACCAGTAGTAAGATCCGGAACACAATGACCCACATATTAAGATTTTAATCACAACCGTGAACCTCATCACAATTAAAATCAACAATCATATGTTGATAATATGATATACAGAGAATTCATTACATGTTTTGTTTGTTTGTTGTTTAACGCCGCACTCAGCAATATTCCACCTATATGACGGCGGTCTGTAAAATAATCGAGTCTGGACCAGACAATCTAGTGAGTGACATTATGAGCATCGATCTAAGCAATTCGGACCGATGACATGTATCAACCAAGTCAGCGAGCCTGACCACCCGATCCCGTTAGTCGCCTTTTACGAGAAGCATAGTCGCCTTTTACGGCAAGTATGGGTTGCTGAAGACCTATTCTACCCCGGAATCTTCACGGGTCTTATTACATGTGGGCTGTTTTAAAGGGAAATATCAAGTCTTACGTACAAGTATAGCCGAGCTATACTGAGTGATGACATGGGGTTGATGTTTACAATATCAAGGCAGGGTACACCAGAACTGAACTCTCACACATTGTACCTAGGTAGGGAACCGAAAACGGATGTTCGGCGTGATGAGCGACCGCTTTAACTACTAGGATACCCGACCGCCCAACGTCTGAACAATAAATCATTGCCTTATATGACAGTAAGTGTTGTGACACGCCATTGTGTACACCTGGAAATATGATGTATCTTAGAATGTCGCCATAATTTTCAGCAGTAATGGCATGAGGATTATGGCAAAAATTGTGTTCTATAGGAGAGATGTGACCAGCATGCCACTCGTGTTTTCTCGAAAATGTAGTATCTTCAGGCATCAACATTTGGTAATTATATCCACTGTCTGGCAATGTTTTATAATTCTCTGTGCACATTACGAGGACACGAAGGAGGATATCAGAGGCACAAATCGTAAAGAAGCAGTATACGCTCCACAGGGCTGTCCTTCAGAATCGGGGGGCAAGGGTGGCCCGGTCGTCTAAAGGGCCGCAATTCGTTGTGCAGAGTTGCGTCCATTGGACACGCCAGAAACCAATGTTTGTGGGTTCGAATCCCCGTTTGCCCCGATTATGTTTCGAGATCTGTCACCATACCCGTGCTCGTGAGTGGTAAACGTCTAAGACCTGCATCACTTCGGGCTTTCCTCCCACATTAAGCTGGCATGCCGTGATATAACTGGAATACTGTTAAAAGCGGCGTTAAACACAACTCACTCATACCTTCAGGGCCGTCGGGTGTCAAAAGGCCTACCATTACAAGTAATCAGCCGTTTGGTGAGAAAACATAGTCATACTAATGATGTGAAGAACCTTAACAGCGTGAGGATAGAGCACTCCTTCGATTAGTACAATGCCAGCCATTTGCCCTGAAGCTGCCCTGAAGGGACATTTGTTTTGGGTTGGTTCCTAAACTCAAATGCTATGCTTAACCCAGAAATCGGTATGTACAGATTGGGAAATCAGTAAATAATCACAAAAGATCAATGGACAGTCAACAATGTATGTTGAAATACAAGGTGTAAATATAAATTGCCAATGCAAGATAATAACCAGGCTACATGTCCTACCGAAAAAGATTCCACTTGGCGTAAAGGGCAAATAGCTGAATTGACCACTGGAGAATCAGTGAAGACACCAGGTGTTCGCGATAAGGGTAAGCACATCCTGCTTTACCACTGGCAACTGCCATTCATAACAAAAATTGTGGAAGAAGCAAGAAACAATAATAGTCACTATATTAAAAGACAGTGGACTCACGACTAACTTAAATGTCTTGAATGAAACACATTCTCCGTTCTTAAATCCAGGAATCGGTGTTGGAAACAAGCAGGAAAGACAGCGTTTTCACAGAGGCTTCGAGAGCTCCTTGAACCATTATGACCATGTTGTCTGCCAACAACTGGAAAAAAGGTTGTAACAAAATTCTGACAGCGCAGCTCTCTATACCAGGAGAGTAACGAAGGTGTCAGACGCTGAGACGGAGTTTTGGACGAGCTAATTATAAAGAGAGGTCACTCTTAATCAAGGTCACTACAACTACAACTACAGCACAAATAAGATTAATGCCCCCAAATGATCGGAAACAGAGTTACAATACACACTGCCACACAACACAATGGTAAACAATCGTCTGTTCACCAGAACATTGAGGAACCACTTGAGAGAAGCAGGGATGGCGTCCAGGTGAGAGTCATAAAAAGCCCCCTATTGGCAGATTACCATCTGAGGTTCAGATGGGCATGGTGTTTAGCACGACATGCTTGGAATATCAGAAGCTGGCGGAAAATCCAGAGGTAGGATGAAGGCATGTCCTTGCTCCATGTCACGAATGGACAACTGATGGCTTGGCACAGGCATACAGTCTTTTCCCAAAGGAACAAAGGACAACTGTATCTTATGTGGAGGGCGCGGTAATGTTTTTGGGTGTATCACACACCAATGAATCGGTCACTATACAAGGCATACGTGGGTAATCATCACATCCCGGATGTCCTGGAAACCAGTTGTTGTCCCCCATTTCGACAACCACCTATTCGCAACAACACCTCAGTTCATGGGAGAAGCAGGATGGATGCCATCATCCGGACATAGAGACCTGTTGAACTATTAAACTACAGGCGTCCTCTCGGGACTCCAATTGTCATTTGTTTCAAGAAATGGCCACACCTGAAATCGTCGTACAATGTTTGCATCTCTTTACTTAAAGATATATTGTTAGGTTAAAACATCACTTGTCGCACTGCTACATTATCGTGATTAAATACTAACCTAAACTAACAATGGTGGTGGTATTTTTAAGTGTCAGTTCCCAAATTAAAACAATGTGTTAGAAATCTGTACATAATGGGATTTAGTGTGAAACCAACAAACAACCAACAAATGGTATACAATCACCACATGTATTACAAAATTCACTAGGTTTACAAATCAATACAAATTACTGCACAGCAATTGCAATGGTAGTACACAATAGAGTGGAAGTGCAATATTCAATGGCAGTATATAACATGATGACAGTGGTCAGTATCAAATACAAAAATACGGTGGTGTCTGCAAAAGTCAGTGATAATACTATTTTCACCCAGCGGCGACAGTGTTCAAGTTTCCAAGGTGGACCTAGGCAGGGAATCTGGGTAATCTTCACATGGATGCTGGTCGTGATGTAATGAAATGTGTGAGAGACGGGAGAGACTCTCTCTTTAACAAGCTTCCAGGATATTCTCCACAGTGCTGTAAGGCTCCAGTGTTATTTGAACATTACAGAATATTCCACAGTCTTCCGGAAGTTTACACATCACACTAGCATCTAAATATCGTATCTTCTTTACCACTGCTTACATTAAAAACTTCATGGTTGACAACTAATCATTGTCCAAATACAATACAATGAGCTTCTACCTGATGTCAATATAAGTTACAATCATTGTTTAGATGTCTGGGGTGCTTAACATTTTTCCAGGTGTATACCTTTGATACTTCGAACCATATGCATACCGTGCTCTCACTTGTTGGGTGGGAATTTTACACTGCTTACAGTGCCGCGTCTTTTAATCCCAGAGTGATTTGCCCCCTTTAATACTTCCCGTGATCTTGAAACTTTTATGAGTTCAGACAATAACCACACTTCGCGATATCTCAAGGCTGTTCTGAAGCCCCAACAGGCTGTTTGTTTCATAATGTAATGGACACAAGTATACACTGGTTTTTATTCTGTTATTCATATGATATCATGTGTGGCTAATCCGTTGCATCAAACTTCATCGGGGCGGTCGGGTAGCCTAGTGGTTAAAGCGTTCGCTCGTCACGCCGAAGACCCGGGTTCGATTCCCGACATGGGTACAATGTGTGAAGCCTATTTCTGGTGTCCCCCGCTGTGATGTTGCTGGAATATTGAGGCGTAAAACCATACTCACTCACTCACTCACTCACTCACACTTCATCCTCATGTGGAATTGTCTTAACATCCCTTACCCTAATACCAAATTTGTTGGTGGTATATTGGTAAATAAGCGTCAGTTTACATCAGTACTGTAACAGGTATATCACGTGCGCCTGTAAATAACCAACAGGATATCACCCCGTCATGGTACGATGACACACAGTCATCAAGACATGTGATCAATATGTTTATTCAACCGCCAGATCACAAATTACAAAACAAAACGTCGGATGACATCAACTGTTCGCCACTTTACAATTTGAATTTAACCTTAATTGTTGGCATCTCAATGGAAACCCGTGATAACGCCTAGTCTGATCTGGACGTTGGTATCAACATCACTTGTCCTCTAACAAACGGGGTCCACACCAGGAGAGCAGCAAATGAAGATAAATGGTCAAAAATGACATCTTTCATCGCCTGTTCATCTCTATGGGGCAGTTCATCTCTATGGGCTTCTGAGAGGTGACCGAGTCAGTAACCGAGTGTGAATGGAAGCACACGCCACAAACGTATGATGAATGACGCCACCAGCTGGGACTCACGGGGTCTGAAAGAAAACAGAATTGTTTAGTAATTATACTCAAGTGATTACAGTATCCACGTTCTGACTGAGTGAGTAAAATTGATTTTACGCCATTTTTAGCAATATTCCAGCAATATCACGTCGGGGGACACCAGAAATGGGCTTCACATATTGTACCCATGTCGGGAATCAAGCCCGGATCTTCGGCGTGACGAATTAGCGCTTTAACCACTAGGCTACTCGACCGCCCCTACGTTCCTACTGACTCTCATAGGACAACCATTGTGAAAATATAATAATGAAGAATCCTTAAAGCAGGTGAATCATTGTTTGACATTACAGGTTCACACATTAAATTGCTAGAAAACACTGTCCTGTGCAAGGGCCAGAAAAAAACTTTTTCTGAATCTTTAATTGCAAATTGAGTTTCATTGACCATGATTGGCTACATCGCTTCTGTTGTTCCCCCAGAAATATGCGTGGATACCTACTATAAACTACTTGTGTACATGTAACACTGTCTTGTCAAATTAATTATGCCCACTTTGTATAAATATACTGTAATAATGCGGTTCTTGAGCAAGTGTATAAATGATAATTTCATGTTAAGACTTCCTATTTGGACTGCTGTATTATTAATAACCTTTTACATATAACTTTACTTCTATATAACCTGACCTGATGGTGATGACTACATTGAACCGGGTAATCCTGACTCTGTACCAGTTGATTTGGCTCACATCACAGCCACTGACGTCCCTGACGACCTACACTTAGTAGGGGAATTCAGCGTTGACAAGAAGCGTTTCTGGAACCGTCACTATGTCAGGAAAACAGAGGTCCTGATGGAGCTCCATTGTGGTAGACCTGGAGTAGTCGAGGTGTTCCATGCCAGAAGAATGGTCCCTGGTTTTGCCGTGACTTGAGTAGAAGAAATTACTTGTCAAGTGGAACACTGCTGCCTGTGGATGTTTCGCTGATAGTTCCTATGTCACAGAGATGTAAGGTGAGGTAAATTGAGGTGAAATGGGGTTTCACGTCGCTTCCAAGATTATTGCACGTATGTAGCGACGTGTGTGTGTGTGTGTATGTGTGTGTGTGTGTGTGGATGCTTGTACTACTCTCGACTGATGCCGATGTATAGTGCTAGCCCACTGAGATACCATGCCGCAGTTTAACATGAATACCCTACCAAGACACAGTATACTGACTCCGAGCCGACCAGCCCTTGTTTTATCCGCTTAATGCCGAGCGCCAGACAGGGTAACAACAAGTATCATCTTTTAACGTCTTTATGCATGACGCGGCCGGGAATCGAACCCCAGACCTTCCGCTCTCCGGGCGGACGCTCTACCACTAGACCACGGAGGCGGCCAGGGAGATTGAAGGACTACAGACGTAATAACGTGCAATGTCCAGTCAACAGTGTGAGCTGGTGGAATGTTGGCATAAGGCACATGTGTTGTCACACACGAACTACTGGGTGATGCTGTTATCATGTATTTACGCGTCAATTCGAATGCGTTGGCATTTAAAGCACATTTACATTTTCGGGCACATCTGTTGTCTACGTTTGATACTCGAAACTTTCCCACAGTGTCAGAAAAAGACTGTGACATTTTCGATGAAATATGGTAGTATAAAAAATAGAAACCGTTATCACCTACCTTGACCAAAGGATTTAAAGTGATATTCTTCCTGTGAAGAATGATCTCATCAGCATCAAGACCCATCACTCTGCTGTATCCCAATAGTATCTCTCTGCAGTCTAACAGGGAACCATTCTCGTCTTGTGTAAACTGGCCACTATGGTCGTGTTATTAAGGATCCCGATGGACAATACCTACAAAAATACGAAGAAGAATCTTTTTATACTCATACTGATTGTGTTGAGGAAAGTTATTAGGGGCAACTGCATAGTAACCTGGGCCTCTATTTACTATCGAATAGGCCGTTCACGCGTCCATCCAGTAACTGGTAACAACATTACAAGTTTACAATGTGAGTATCCATGAACATGTTTCTATACATGTGTTGCTTCAGTTTTGTTTCGACTGTCCGTTCCTGTGACACAGTATCCTTGCCAGTAAAGTATGTTGGTTGCAATTGGAATCATAAATCCTCCATGTTTTGAGTTTCGGGTTTTGTTGGCATCATACCCATGCTCATAGGTTTCGCCTGCATCACTTTGGGCTCTTCTGCTGGCAGCCGTGATTAACCAAACAAACTGCTCAATGCAGCGTTATACGTCAATCAGTGATGTCACAAAGCTACGAGCATCAATAGACCAATAGTTTGGCCGATGTATTATGTATATATATTTGTTTTCCGATAGGTACCACATCAGTTGAGAAGTCGTCTTTGTTGCCTTCACGCCCAGTACAGCTTGCTTTAGATGTTTAAACAATCTGCCACCAGACAATACTCCTTTGCTGTGGCACTATTCAACGCTACCAAAGTTTAGTGTTTGTGGAGATTTTTATCGAATATTCAACTTACACGTGGTTAAATGCTTGCAACCCCTCCAACAAAAGATGCAATTGAGTATAACATGGAGATTGCCTGAACTTACGGTTACGAACCAAGTATACTGCAAGGACATTACTTTACCGTCTTTTTGTCTTCTCAACCCCCGTAGGAATGGAACCCTTGACTCTAAACAATGCAACTAAATTGTCATCGTACCTGAATGGCGCGGGACGTTGCTCATACTGTTAACCACTGGTTTGTAAAACTTCTTTTGTAAACGTTATTGCTGGGACATTGCTGATTGAGTTGATTAAGTCAACACATAAACAAACCACCTATTCTCCTGATCATTCAGAGGGCTGTACTGCTGATATTCCTGGTCTGGAATCGAGTTGGAAGGAACTATTCCAGTACAAACGGCACGTAATTTAAAAAGTCCCGTTTGAGTGGAAGGGTAAGTTTGAATAAACGTTTGCTGCTTGGATGCTGTGGGGAAAATACATGACCCATATTCTAGAATGTATGGAGAGGGGACTGAATATACGTTAACAGTACTCGTAGTGTATAGAGATTAGAGGTCAGTAATGTATGTATGTAAGGACGGCAGACTCGCGTGTATGACTTATTATCATTCCTCATGGGGATACAGATTATGTAGCAGTACCGCATTGTGTACGATAGCAGACTCCAGTGTATGAGCTGATATCAGCACACATGGGGATACAGAGTATATACCAGTATGGCATGTGTGTAGGGTAGCAGACTCTAGTGAATGAATTGTTATCAGCACACATGGTGATACAGATTATATACCAGTATGGCATGTGTGTAGTGTAGCAGACTCCAGTGTATGAGTTGTTATCAGCACACGTGGGGATACAGAGTATATACCAGTACTGCATTGTATAGGGTACCGGTGTATGATTTGTTGTTATAATTTTGAATAATTATTTACGAAAACAAGGCTGTTAATTCAAGATATAATAATTGTATGATATTGTGTTTGCTTGTTGGTTACACCTACATCTTCAGCCCCTGTCCACCATACATACCCTGTGAAGGTAAGGAGGCAGAGAGCGGAACATAATGAAGTGCATATCTGTTCAGGAGCTAGCACTTGGCCTGGTTCGTTCATTTCCCTTCGGCAGATATGTACTGAAGAAAGAAAAAATATACCTTCTTGAAACCGTTAAACTAAGTGTTTTCATCACAAACGTAATCGGTATTGAGGGCGCGTCTATTTATGTGTAGGTGTGTGTAGGGTATGTATATGTATGTAGGGTATGTGTGTAGGTGTGTGCAGGGTATGTGTGTGTATGTAGGGTATGTATGTGTATGTAGGGTATGTGTGTATGTGTAGGTGTGTGTAGGGTATGTGTGTCTTTGCAGGTGGGTGTAGGGTAAGGGCGTATGTGTAGGTGTGTGTAGGGCATTTGTGTATGTGTGTATGGTGTATGTCTATATGTTAGGTGTGTATAAGGTATGTGTGTATGTGTATGTGTGTATGGGATATGTCTATATGCGTAGGTGTGTGTAGGGTATGTGTGTATGTGTTTGCATGTGTAGGGTATGTGTCTGTGTGCAGGTGTGTGTAGGGTATGTGTATATGTGTAGGTGTGTGTAGGGTATTTGTGTATGTGTAGGTGTGTATGGGGTATGTCTATATGCTTAGGTGTGTGTAGGGTGTGTGTGTATGTGTTTGCATGTGTAGGGTTTGTGTCTGTGTGCAGGTGTGTGTAGGGTATGTGTATATGTGTAGGTGTGTGTAGGGTATTTGTGTATGTGTAGGTGTGTAGGGTGTGTGTGTATGTATTGTCAAATCAATAAAAAAAAACTTGGCATGTAAATCCATAAATATATGAGCGTGATCCACGTGCGAAGTATCTTACCCTTAAAATCGTACAAACTGCAACTTCGAAAGTAATAAACGAACAAATCAAAATCCCAACGCCAACAATATCAATTGTTTTCATTGTGTGTAATGATGGATGTGGAAGCCCTAGAACAGCAAGAATGTGACAATAGAAATAAAGAAACCAACTGAAATTAAAAAAATAAACCTGGATAAGTTGTATTGTGACCTCGTATAACTATGCATGAGGTCCGCCCACTGGCGCGTACCACTGTGAAGAAAGGGGTAGCGGGTGGTCCGCGACAAGTAGTACGATTAGTAAACCTTTCAAAATGTTTTATAGTATAGGAGGACATTTCCAAGGTTGGCATATTAGTGACAAAAATATTTTGCCCTGTACATGTTCCCGTGTTTGTTAGGGCGAACACTTGCCTTGCCTTTGCCTGTGCTTGTTACGGGAACCACGGATAAGGTAGTATACACCACACATGATAATGATACAGGCCGAATCGTACAATGGACTGTGCTTTTATTAAACATTGCGTATGCTTATGGAAAGGGTTTCGTCGCTTTTTAACCCAAAATTCACATGTTACATGAATTCCAAGATGCTTGGGGCGGTGAGGTAGCCAAGCTCATTAAGCCTATGGCTGGTCTCGATTTCCCATGTGCGTGAAGCCCAGTTGTGGTGTCCCCTGTCGTGATACTGCTGGAATATTGATGGAAATAGCATAAAAACACACTTTCACCTTCACGTTAAGGTGAATGACTACAGAGAGATGCTACATGTGAATAGCTAGTGACTGCTTCTTGTCCAATGTTGATGCAGTACATCAGCCTACCCTTGATTATCAAGTTGGATAGGTTTCCTTAATTATTTAAACTTCTTAAATAACATTACTTACCCAAGCGGAATGAAGAGCACTTGATTGATTCATGCCATGCATGCCGTAAAAGGCGACTATGCTTGTCGTAAAAGGCGACTAACGGGATCGGGTGGTCAGGTTCGCTTACTTGGTTGATACATGTCCTCGATCCCCGTTGCGTGGATCGATGCTCATGATATCCATCACTTGATTGTCTGGTCCACACTCGATTATTTACAGACCGCCGTCATCAAGTGCTGCGTTAAACAACAAACAATATATATACAAGTATATATGCATATATGTAAATGTAATTAATTTTGAATCTTTTATCTGTTTTCTGTTTAGCTCAAGGGGAAACGTTACAATTAAGGCGAAGACTATATCTTGGACCGGAAGTTATAATGCCACTCTCATTGTCAAAGCAACAACACACTACTTACGTTCTAGAACCACGAGCATCTAAGATAACATTCACCGTATTCAGATGGCTACCCTCCATCATTGCTGTTTGGACTGACATCTCTGCAGCTGAATTTTCATCTTGTGGCAAGGCGTGTCTCTTGTGCCTTCTGCTAGAGATGCACCTTACTATTGTGTCATACATTCAAACACAGCATAATTTAAAATAAATGCACAGCAAAGATTGTGTACATTCATGTATAAAATGACTTAAACAATAGCATAGCAAAGATTGAGAGCACTCATGTACAGAATAGTTCAAAAGATAGCATATCAAAGATTGTGAACAGACCACATTATACACATGCCTGACACAGCTAGCTATGAATCTATCGAATGTTAGTTTATGTGCAGACATATAAATACAGAAGACTTTGTGATACAATCCAAAAGGTTATGTTGTATTGCATCATACTAAATGTTTGATATAGTAAATGCGTAGATACCAATCGCATGCCACCCAAATTGATGCAGTATTAATGATATCACATAGCAATAAAAGAAAGCAAGCTGAATAAGTTAGTAAGAAAACCTAAAGTATCGGATGCAACTATGATTGCCTACGTTGGTATCTTAGAAAAAAATTGCGCAGCATGCAGTGAGCATCACTTTTCTTATTGCAAACTCCCATCTCTTGCTCAGCCATTCACACCGTCAAACTTTAGGGCGTACATCTTACTACGCTATATAGGTAAGGGGTACACATTAATAGTTTTACATAAACGTTATACATCTAACAAATGCAAACTTGAACAGTTATCAAATCCAGTGTTTGATATCATGAGCATCGATCCACGTAATTGGGATACGATGACATGCATGAACCAAGTCAGCAAGTCTGACCACCCGATCCCGATAGTCGCCTCTTACGACAAGCATAGTCGCCTTTTACAGCAAGCAGGGTTACTGAAGACCTATTCTATCCCGGATCTTCACGGGTCAATATAGTGAGAGAGTAGTAAAATGATAGAATATTGTAAGTAAGTCATACCCTTGTCCAAAATGGCTTCAGTAACAGTTATAGTTTTTTCATTGTTAAACAAAGAAAGTGTGTGCAAATACTAGTATATTGTTTTAAGATCTCACGGAAGTGCTTCACCTGCACCAAATTAAAATTGAGTGTTAGTGTCAGAAAATCATACAATGACCAAAACCACCATGCCCTTTGGCAAGGATGTCATGTGTCTACATAAAACGCCTCCACGCCAAAGAATGAACATCTGCATTACAACACACATACACATACATATTAATGGCAACAACAGACATAGTACACATAAAGCTTTGTGAACGTGAATTGCAGGGTACTTTAAGTAACAGTATTTACAGCTAAGTTCATATCTTTATCTGTGTGCCACACATTTTAATGTCAGTGATTTTCTACTCGTCATCTGTCACATGTAAGCTACATCCATCATTTAGAACTTTGTAAGGAATAAGAAAGACAATGGAAGTTAATAATTACTTGGACATGGGCTTAAACCACAGTTTCTCGTTTCGCTGTCAAATATGGCTCCGAGACCAGTACAGTCTCTACCCCCATCACTAGGGGGAGGGTTGGTGCAGCTCCTGGTTCGAGTAACAACACGGGTAGCAGTCACTCCACAGGTGACAGAACAAGATGGGATGTTCCAGTGTGTCCACAGTGATAATCCACCATCCGCTATACAATGACATCACATTTCTTATTTACTAGATTTACACCATTAATACTGCATTTCTTCACTAGTGGTCACTGATGCATACGTTATTTTTGTATATTTACAATATTCAGATATCTTATTTTTCAATTAAATGTCATAATCATGGAAAGAAATTCATTTTATTTAAGTTCAGGTATGTTTACTGAAACTGATTGTTTTTGTATTTGTTATTTTCTAATGGAATGGTGTTTCAACAGAAGCTAATTACTTGGGCAGGACGACAATCCACAGTTCCTGACTTGGTTCTCGAACGAGGTCCCTAGACCTGTGCAGTCTGTACCACCGAACTGAGGGACAGGATTTGTACATGATCGTGTTCTCGTTACAGTGCGGGTCGCAGTCGAACCACAGGTTTGTGGACAATTTGGAACGTTCCATTGAGCCCACTGTGTCAAGCCTCCGTTAACTGTACGTGAGTGAGAAGGTTGTTTGTGTTTAGATAAATATTAGAAACAAAGTAAAACATTGGTGATACATTTCCTTGACAAAGCAATTTTCTGAAAAAAAATCTCAACAAATAGGTTTTCGATTGTGACACTGGGAAATCTGTGAACCTAATAGTTTTCAAAACTTCGTAGCTTTTACCTCAGCTATAAAGCGATCTGACAGTATAACAATATATTTATTTTGTGTTGAACAGAAGATTTACTCACTTATCTGGAAAATATTGTCTACATTACACACCCACAGAACAGAATGAGTGCATGAGTGGTGACAATGAACACACATGGCAATGGAAACACTTCCTTACGTATTACGTAGCATGCACCGCTTGTCAATGCAGGAATAAGACCACAATGGAAATTTATAATTACTTGGACATGGGCTTAGACCACAGTTTCTCGTTTCGCTGTCAAATGTGGCTCCGAGACCAATACAGTCTCTACCCCCATCACTAGGGGGAGGGTTGGTGCAGCTCCTGGTTCGAGTAACAACTCGGGAAGCTGTCGTTCCACAGGTGACAGAGCAAGATGGGATGCTCCATTGTGTCCACAGTGATAATCCGCCATCCGCTGTTTACGAAGATCCAAGGCTCATGTTACTTAATGTTCCTCCTAGAGGCGTCATTGTTTTCACATTGTATGAATATTAACCAAATTATATTTCTAAAATCATATTTGTTTCGCTATTAAAGTTATTGAAATAAAAGCAGCAAAACCATTTTCATAATAATACGAAATATTTGCAAAATGAAATATGGCTTGATATGTTTAATTGAATGAAATGGGGATAACTTTTAATTTTTTACTAAACAATTATGTCAATAGCAAATCATTTCTGTCTGAAAATATGACAATGGTTATAGTTTGTTATTTTCATCTGAAATAAAGCAGAATTTAATTACTTGGACAGGCCGTCAATCCACAGTTCCTGACTTGGTTTTCGAACACGTTCCCTAGACCTGTGCAGTCTCTACCACCGAACTGAGGGACAGGATTTGTACATGATCTTGTTCTTGTTGCAGTGAGGGTTGCAGCTGAACCACAGGTTCGTGTACAATTTGGAACGGTCCATTGAGTCCACTGTGTCAAGCCTCCGTTAACTGGGAAAAAGAGTAAAAATGTTTTGGGGCCTTTGTCAGAGAGTAGATTAGAGAGTAGATGTATGTTTTGGGAATTTCCTTTATAATTATCTTATTTCAAACATCAAACGTATTTCAACAGTGAAACTGAGGAACGAAACATATATTTTCAAATGATACAAAACTATTTGACATGGATCTTAGTAAATTAGTGAGAACTGCTCTACGCCACATTTATTGTTACAGCTGAAATTAACAGCCAACAATGAACAGCATGACCCGTAATACACATCAACTACAAAGTACACATTTACATTCAGATTATGATCTATGCCATAATGAAATTACATGAAATGTTGGTGCAGACATGAACCACCCATACATTCGCCGAATAGTGACATAACATATAACACGACTGTTTTCTTCATTTCTCAAGACTGACTTGAGTTTCATTTTTAAAATGTATCAACACAATATTTAAAATATTTATGGATTATTTATGCCTGCACGGTTGATCGAAATACTTAAATAGATAAAGGTAGCACGTAGATATACTACCACACTTGTACTGACAGTCTTATACATAGAGATTATCATCTTTTGAAATTGTCATGTAAGTCTATTTGTTTAAATAGGTAAAAGACGATTCGTGTGATATTTTAATCAATCGATATTTTATTATGTTCAGGTTTGGTAATGTAAGTTGGTAATCATGATACAGTTTAGTAAATCAGCAGACATCGTTGTAAAATAATTTCTTGGGCAAAGCACTGGTCCACAATTCCAAAGCGCAGTCTGAAATACTTCAGGTTGTTATTGTTTGAATATCTCAGAGCTGATCACAAGATGTATTAACTAAAAACAAAGCAGAACATCACAAACGATGGAGACACAGGTACAGTGCATAGAAAATCATGAAACAGATTAACATGCTGTGTTGGAAACTTTGTAAACATGTCAGGCTTACTTGGACACGCCGAAAATCCACAATTCCTGTTTTGGACTTCAAACGTTGATCCGGTACAGTTGTTTCCGCCATTCTGAGGGGCTGGGTTGGTGCAGGACCTGGTTCTGACTACAGTTCTACTTTCGGAAACTCCACACGTTCTTGTACACGTTAGACCTGACCACTGATTCCACTGGGTCAACCCACCATCAACTGAAACAAAACCATATGTATGAAAATAGTTTGATCCAACGCTGACCTGTTAGTACCACTGTCGACTGTGTTATTATAAATATTACTTTTCTAAGCATTTAAATTATACGTGTAACATTACGTTCTTGTAATACATTAAGAATATTCAGGGATATGAACCCATTCGACAACGTATGATAAGCAATTGTGCGATGCACGTGGGTAACCAATAAAATATTCACTTTCCTCATTGTTGACGAAGACACGTATTTTCAGCAGTGAGAGAGTCTTAGTGTTTGAGAGTCAAATGTTTAAACACTACCACATCTACATTTGGTTAGACAGACAACACACTTGAAATGCAACACACATTCAATCGCTTAAAATGAGATGGTTTAGCACAATTATAACAGAAATGATATCATACCAGGACAAGCTCCAAGGCCACAACTTATGAACGCTGTATTAGTTAGGGATTCAATACAGAAGGCTTCACCATTCCTCGGTGGTGGGTTGGTACAGTCCTTATGTGCAATAACTAGTTAAATATAAATGCAATCCAAATGGTGTTTTCACACCCTTACGATAAACCCGTTTTACGCAGCTTAACGTTGCCTTTCTGACCTACAATCTTTATGCATGCGGTTTTGCCATTGTATTATATGCTTGAGTAAACCCATCCCGAGAGTATTAAAGAGTCAAAATGAAAAAAACAGTGAAATTATCTTAAACAATAATTTACTTTCGTTCGCATTTGTCATACTACTATAACTGTTCGTAGATATAGATATTCACCTGCAGATATGATGTTTGGCAAGTTTCGCAGCGAAATAATAAGACAATGCTTGGAGCTAAGGCAGCCTTTTAGAGCTCCTGACAGAAAGTATGATCAAGCAAACTAGCAGTGCCAGTAACGGAGGCTTCTATTTCAATAACAATGTTCCTTGCATTGGCGGTAGCAGGGATGGAGGCTTCCTGATTATCAGAGAGACTGTCAGTGTATTTTGTTGTTGAACGGTGGTTGAAACTGTATCACATTGTTCCTGTTGAGATTCGATAGACGTTCATTACATTGTGTTTGGACAGGGATCAGTCGTCAGGACGTTTCTTTTGAGTTTTTTGTGTGGTGTGTAAACTTCTGGTCCGGTGTACCGCGGACGGTGATAGAATGTTATGGAAATGTCTGTTATATATTATTATTATCACTGAATTTTGATATCACCACTGCCATCATATTATCTATTGTCACTAAATATTGTACTCCCACCGTATTGTTTACTGCCATTGCAATTACTGTGCATTAATTTGTATTGATATGTAAACTTAGTGAATTTTGTAATACATTTGTTGATTGCATACCATTTATTGATTGTTGGTTGGTTTCACACTTTGTTCTTTTATGTACAGATTTCTGGAATAACATATTGTTGCTACTGAGCATATTCTTCCTCGCCTTATCATGCCCCTTTACTTAGCTTGATATCTAATGTTTAGTTCCCACAAAAAGTATGTATTTGAAACGAAGTACACAAACTCTACCTTCAACAACGTAGTCGACAACAAAGCCACCACAAGAGTCAACAGACCGACCTCCGCCATGAGTCACAATATCTGTACTGCCAAAAAATGCATCTGAAACAAGATACGCTTTGTTTTAGTCTTATTTGCACCTCAAATTTGATAAAGGTCGGCACAAAAGTAATAAATTACATCATCGTCGGATATGGCCCGTTTCTTTGAAAAAAAGAAGAAAACGGTGTAGAAATAAACGGCTATAAATCTAAATTGAAATCAGTGCTTGCATATTTAGTATTCATCTGATGAAACAGCTCCATCTGACATTATAGATGACCCAGAATAGTAAAGTATGTCTTTATATATAGAATTGATTATAGTTTTCAAACTGGGCAAAAACTTCGAAAACAGAATCTATTATCTATTTGCAAGAAAGAGAACAGCAACTTCAATGAACATAACTTATTGAGAACATATGGAACATGAATTTAAAATATTATTCATTGTAAAGCAATTGCAGTGGCCTCAATGGTCACTCAGGATGAATGTTTTATTTAACTTCTAGTTGTGGTTCATTATCTATTTCAAGTTTTAGTTACATATGTTCAACATGTTATTTCCACAAGGAGCGTTTTGATATCAGTACTCTATTATTCAACTGATCAGACACATTGAATTTGAGAATAATTGAGTCTGACCATGATTAGTTTACGCTTACAAAACATTTTAGCGTCAGAATACGCATATAAGAAAATGCTTTACAATATGCATATATTCGATCGTGCCACATGGTGTGATTAACTTTCAACTGTTCTACATAATAAAGACACCATCTGAAGAATAGTGATCGAAAACCAACGAATAAATCTAAAGTCTCAAATAGGTTGGGACCGGCTCCGTGGTCTAGTGGTCGATCCCCGGGCGCGTCATACCAAAAGACGTTAAAAGATGGTACCTGTTGTTACCCTGTCTGGCGCTCGGCATTAAGGGGCTAAAACAAGGACTTGTCGTCTCGGAGTCGGTATACGGTGTCTGAGTGGAGGATTCATGTTAAACTACGGCATAGTATCTCAGTGAGCTAGCACTATAAATCGGCATCAGTCCGGACTAGTGCAAGCAGCCACACAAACACATACACGTACATGCACGCCGCTATATAAGTGCAATAATCTTGGACGCGACGTTAAACCCAAATTCGCCTCGCCTCGCCTCAAATAAGTTGGTCGAAACATTCGCTGAATATGCAGGTAGCTGAGGTTATGTAAATCACCATCGTCCTTTGTAAGGTGGCCTAGCTTTTGTTGCTGGTGCTTGTATTTTAAAAGCTCAAAATGTAATATTGATGTGTATGTTGAGTAGAATGTTTAAATATTTGAAATGGTTCGTTCTTAGGCCCGGAATTTGTAAAATGAATGTTTTGCTGTCCTTTGTGGCATTTATCAACATAACTGTTCTTGTCACTAAAATGGCCAAGACACTGCTTATGTGGCGTTGCATTTTAACTCACGCACTCACTCACTTATTGAGAATATTAGCCGAGGGTTTTTTCGTATCGTAAATTTCATATATTAGAAATACAAAGTTTATTATTGTATTCCTAACATATCATATTTTTCGGTACGGAAGCATGTGGCGGTAATGGTCTCTTTATGATATGAATTCATTCTAAAAATAATGGAACTTCAAGACATATTGCTATCCATTAAAGTAATGGAATGTGAAGTCTGGGTGAACCGCCCAATGTATGATGTAGCACTAAATAATTTGCAGCCATATTTGTTTTATTTGAGCACCCGTAATTGGGAAACTACTATCCCTTTGGGAACATAATAAAATGATTTGTCAGTAACAACACACTGCAACAATACACAGAGCGTACTGAACGTGTTGCATAAGGGATTACTCAGAATAAGCAGTTTGCCTTTTGAACAATCCACTTTTCGTTTTGAAAGTAAAATATTGTTTAAACCACTAGCATCTAAATAACCATTTCGTCAGATTTTCAGGTGCAGTGATTTATTACAACTGTCACCTCTAAAGAGAGAATCATACAGTCCGCTTCCTTATTCTGCTTACAGGTTGTTTTGAAGGGGACTGAAGTGCATATTTTAGGTCCGCCATCTATGGTAAACCACCCGCGATCACAGTTGGAGCTGGTCGTGAAGTTGACAGAAACGAAGTCCAGGGTTAGTGATTGCAACTTCCCACTGCCTCTGATGGTGTTGGTGCAGTTGTCGTAGGTGCAGTCGCAGGAATAACATGGCGCCAATATCTGTCCAGATGTCTTTAAGTGGATGGAAGTGCAGTTGTCTGCAACATGGGGGTTAAATGTATGTAAATCATCTGTTACGACGTAAATTTTAATAAACAGTGGTAAAATGTAATACTGCCGTAAATTGTTAAACACAATGTGGCAAATTGTAATAACTTTAACCTCGTTAAATTGTAATAAATACTGCAGCAAATTGTAATAACCACTGTGGGAAATTGTAATAAACACAGCGGCAAATTGTAATAAAATATTATTCATTTGCAAATATACAAAGAAACATGCATGACGTTTAAAATGTGCCACTAAGCTGTTTCGAAATCAAAATCCGGACTTTCAAACAAATGAATTTATAAAGACTACTATGCTTTAAATTCTAAATATTTGTATCTACTGAAAACAGAATTCGAGTTCCAGTGTTTGTTCGAACTTAACATGATCAATTCAAACCTCCAGCATTTTTCAGGAAATAAAAAAAGCGATTTTGTTTCAATTTTTGTCATTCCTGTTGTGGCAAATTGTAACAAACAGTTTGTAATTGTAATACCAAGTGCGGTAAATTGTAATAACATATCTTAATCCTTCCGATTTCAAACAGAATTCGAGTTACAGTGTGTGTCCGACCTTAACATGATCAATTTCAACCTACAGCATGTTTAAGGGAATAAAAAGGCATGTTCTGTTGTTTTATATCATTTTTCTTATTCAGTGTGGGGAAATTGTTCGAGAGGGGAAATATCCTGTACTCGTGATGAACACATCATAGTCAAGCCAAGATGTCTATTTTCTGGTGGAGAATTTTGTTTTCTGTTCATCTACATAGATAATGTCTAATATACTCTCAAATCTTGAAGCTAACATTGCCCACTTTTTTACCATTCGTAATGACAATTGTGAAAACCGAAGTAATAACATAAACACGCTTTTGCAATAAACATTTAAGTACGATGCTATTATTATTTGTTTAATAACCCGAGCTTTTAGTGATACCATATATAATTATGTATGTTAATAAGCAGCCCATATCACATAGTGTTACAACAGAGAGACAGTGTTATTTTGTTCGATCACAGCTCTTCTTAGTTGCAGACCTATATACATTGCAAGATTCTTCAAAACATCTTCATTATTACTGGACATGAGGGTATAACATTATATTTTATTTATAGAAGGATTGACACAGAATTTTGCTGGTATATATATACATATAACAGTTCCTGATGGATATATATATATATTCACAAACAGGGATAAAATGGCACTCATCTTCTTTATACAATGTGTTACACAGTAATCATACTCTCTCACATCTTGGTTGTTTGCATTGTCGTCCGGTTTCTTTTCTTAACTGATGGGAACTACATCTTAGTTTTGCATGACAGTTTCTAAACTTAGAGATACTGATAACATTAAGATACCTCACTAGACCAAATGACGTCTTATACAAAGAAGAACTATACGTTTTTTAACTGTCTTGGAGGGCGTCATGCCAGTTTTGGTCGTAGGAAGACTTTAGCCGAAATGTTAATTCTGAAAGAAATGTTAGAACGTTACCGACAGATTGATGAATATAGCCCAAACCAGAGCAAGTGCTTAATCTGAGATACCCAGTTGATTGGTCCGTTATTTGCAGATAACAACAATAACATATTTCAACATGTTTTTACATATCGTTTTTCAGGAACATTTACAATTCGATACCAGTATTTTACAGCCCCTTTGTAAGCATATTATATATGAGGGATATCTGACAAATTCTCCCCTTACCATATGACTTGGAGTTGATAATTTTACACATAAGAAACGCTTGCATGCCGATAAATGAATCACCTCAATTTCTTTACAACGTTTTGAAATATGTCTCATATGGTAGGGCTTGAATAGCTTACAATATCCTGAATACACCACACATAAACTTTTTGTTTGCAACGTGGCATTTGCAACATGCCTTTTCCATTACAAAGATTTAGAAGATATTATTCTGATGTACGAATATAATGTAACACATTCTTTTTGAGTGTTATGACATAACAAAATGACGAAATGCCACCATTCTTAAATACAAGTATTTTGGTTTGATCTAAATTAACAGCCAAATTGTAGTCAGAACAATAACTATCCAAAGTATCAATCTGCTTCTGAAGACCAATAATTGTGAATGAAAATGAAAATGAAAATAATAATAATAATAATAATAATAATAATAATAATAATAATAATAATAATAATAATAATAATAATTGCATTTATAATGCGCCGGATTCCATTCACCAAGAGGATACTCATGGCGCTACACTATTATTACCCCGGTCAATGGATCAGTGAGCACTCGATTTTCATTCTCAGCTCCCTGGGGAGTATACAACCCAGGCTGCCTGTGAGGCGCTAGAAGGTTCACAGCAACATTACCTTCTCATCCTACCGGGTACCCACATTTCGAACAAAGTCACTTGCCTAAGGAGACACTATGTGTTTCAGTGTGGGGCAGGACCAAAGCCCGAGAAATGTGGTCACCCATCCAACTACTCCCCGCTTAACTTCACCTGATTTGTGACTTGTGCGCTGTGCACAGGACCACGTGCCACGTCGTCAGCAAACAAAAGCAAAAATAATTGAATGATATATAGATGAAGTTGAACACAAGATCAACATATAATTCTATTTCAGCGGCAAGTTCATATATAAACATTGAGAACAAAAGTGGGCCTAGAAAGCACCCTTCTCTAAGGCCCAGTGGGCTTTCAAAAGGTTCTTACAATATGTTGTTAGCTCTGATACATGCTTTAACACAAAATGAACTATAAATTGATTTTAGGGCATTCATCATTTTGGAAGAAACTTCTACATACCATAGTTTATTTCTATTAACTAAATCTATCGCCTTAGTAAAAACCACAAAGTCCAAGTAGAGCCTGTTGCTATTTTTTTACATGTACCTCTGTATTATAGAGTGCATAATGAATGTTTTTGTCTTTGGTGTTGTAACCCTTTCGAAATCCTCCTTGCGATTAAGATATTCTATCATATGCCTCTGACAAAAATGTCAATCGCTTGTATACTATAGATGTATATCATTTGCGAAAAATTATGTAGAAATGAGTCCATATTGTTTTTGTCGCAAAATGAACCGGTTCTTTAATTCCCTGCGGCGCAAGTCGCAAACGCATAGGTTATGGATATTCCTTGAAGTATCAATCACAAATGATGCCTTCTGCTATAGAAATAGTGCTTTCCTAACATTAGCTAAATGGTACTGCTATTTGAGCACAGCGGCAGCCTTCCGCCATAGACATAGTGCTTTTCTAATATCTATGTTTAATGATACTGCTATTTTCTAACCTTTAGCACAGCGGCGGCCTCCTGCTATAGAAATAGTGCTTTTTTTAATATCTATGTTTAATCATGTTGCTAGTTTCTAACCTTTAGATCAGCGGCAGCCTTCCGCTGTAGAAATAGTGTTTTTTCTACTATCTATGTTTAATGATACTATAGAAATAATGTTCAGGTTAACAGGATAATATCAGGATAATATTTAGGTTTAAATCAAACTGCTGATTTCTAACCTTTAAGCACTAGCACAGCGGCAGCCTTTCGCTATATAAATGAGTGAGTTTTTTTCATATTGATGTTTTAATGAAACTGAACGTTGCAATCATTCTGCTTAACCAAACATCATATCCATAGGTCTTCTGATATTATCTGATAGAATTTTATGTTACTGAAAACACAAGAAACACGGTCAACATTATATTTGCTACTTGTCCTACGCATGTATTGGTGAGCACCGAAAACTACACTCTTGCAATATTCCTTATCCTTGTAAAATCGTATAAAATAATGACATTCTTTATCATTTAACTATGTGGCTGTGGATTACATTAAGGACACTTTTCAAAATCAGAAAATGTACCACTTCCATACAACGTGTATGTTTTTTCCCAGAAACTTCCAAATATATGCATGTGCTATTTTTATTATTATTTATATACGCACCTGACATGTCAATATCTTGACATTTACACTCCCATCCGTTAGAGCAGAACATGGTCATACTGATGGTCACCACTATTGCCTTTTACACCCATTTGATCGGTAGATAATCGGTAGATAATCCTGATTATTCTCTGGCGTTTAGATCTGCAGATCTTTAGCCTTATCCGACAGTAAAACTGTCATCAGGGTATATAAAAGCTAGAATTTGTACGTCTACATGGGACTAGACATCCTTAAAGAACAATGACAAGACAAGGGCGGCATATTTTTACCCCGAATGACTGAACCTGTATCACTACCATTGTATCCAGTGCTTGTTATCCTAGTGGTAAAACGTAATAGTCCCGATCATACTCCATCTGTCAGACACCTCATGAGAACATAAGACTTGTTGATCCAATTTCTCCTTTGGATGTTAATAGTTCAAAGTTCATTTTGCTTTAAACACATGTTTTAAATTATTTTACCCATTAACTTCAAACGAACGACTTTATCTATTTGATATTAATTATATCGTTTATTAATGAATCCATGAGTTTAACGCCGCTTTTAACAATATTTCAGTTATATCACGGCGTTAAAGTCTATTAAGTCTACCAGAACTGCCCATTACCACATCAGGTAAAAGCCATCTCTACCCCACTGTCTAAGAACTGGGGTATCTGATAAATGGGTTTGACCAATTGGAATATGTCAATGTACAACTGTATAAGTTTTTGAATATGCAGTACTCTGCACAGACGCCTGCGTGTATTCCGGAAAGTGTATGCTTTTTTCTGACATTCTTTTGATTTCCTTAAACATGCTGGAGGTTGGAATTGATCATGTTAAGTTCAAATAAACATTGGAACTCGAATTCTGTTTAAAATCGGAAGGATTGAGAGATGTTATTGCAATTTATCGCACTTGGTATTACAATTTGCCGCAGTTTGTTACAATTTGGCGCACCTGCCTCTTAATGGGAATGACAGGAATTGAAACAAAATCGCTTTCTTTATTTCCTGAAACATGCTGGAGGTTTGAATCGATCATGTTAAGGTCGAGCAAACACTGGAACTCGAATTCTGTTTTGAGTGAATACAAATATTAAGAATTTTAATGTACAGTAGTCTTTATCAATTCAGTCGTTTGAAAGTCCAGAATTTGATTTCAAAACAGCTTAGTCGCACATTTCAAACTTCCTGCATGTTTCTTTGTATATTTGCAAATGAATAATATTTTATTACAATTTACCACAGTGGTTATAACAATTTACTCCAGTTGTTATTACAATTTGCTGCAGTGAAGTTATGAAATTTACCGCAGTATTACATTTTACTGCAGTGTTATTACAATTTACCGTGGTTTTTTTATATATTTTATGTCGTAACATCGTCTTTCATTATCCATGTCAACAATCCCCAATCCCACAAAATTACCGACAGTTGTTCATTGTAGGAGATCAAAGAAGAACGATCATTTCCAATGGAGAAGATGACAATAGTTGAAGTTATAATGGTACACATGAAATAGTTTATCTTTCATCGTTTTCGTAATCGTCATATATGTTAGAGCCGTACACAAGTGTTTATCAAGAGAATAACCAGATTTGATTATCTACCGAAACACATTTGATTTGACGTAAAGGGCAAAGTAGCTTTGAAAACTGTATGAATGGACCCCTAAACATTAGGGATGACACCCTGTGGTCGGGAACCAATCGAATGGCAGTCGTATTGACAACCTTCAACAGATTCAAGTTCATCTTTTATTTCTATGATATCATTAAGTTTACTTATCAGTGTAGGACTTTACAACTTTACTGTTTTCACTTCCGACTACACAGTACATCAATGCTGAACCCTGCAATGCTGGTAGACTATTCATACTCAGATATATCTAATGCATGAGTTGAGTCGGATTTAGTTTTTTACAACCCACACTCACGAATCATTAAGAATGTACTGGTGAGTTTGTTCTTCTTTACCGGAAGCATTAGGTTCAGTGTCACTCCTTCAGTTATAGTAGACTCAAATTGGACTTTAGTCTTTAGATTGGTACCTTCAAAGCAAGCCTATTTGTTTTCTTGGCACCCTACCACAAATTTTACAAATTGTAGACCCGTCATTAGGAACAGACAAAACGCCTCAAATAGGCAAACTTTTTAGATGGTAAATACACACATTTGACTGATTGTGATAGATAACTGAAAAGACGATAAACGATTATTACGAATCAATAATGTCAATTACGACAAGAACATAGTATACCGTGTGCGTCGCTGTCAAAAGAATATCGAATCTTAAACCCTCTTCTGGTGACGCTGTAATCAGTTCTAAACTTGATGACGAATCTATCCAGAAAGGCATCTGAAACAAAAACGTTGTTACAATCATCGTTAAAAATTGATGGAGTTGATCAGTATGTGTGAACGCCTTTGTAAACATAAGTTGCATTGGTAAAGAGTCGAAACTCTTACACTAAGGATCATATAGATGTATCACACAGAAGGATCACTTGGACGTATCAAAGAGACGCATGTATCATACAGACGGATCACATGCACGGATTGCTTCCACGAATCCCACACGGATCACATGTACGCAACACACAGACTCATCACATATACAGATGACATGCACGCGTCAGAGACGTATCACGCATACAGATGATATGCACGCATCAGAGACGTATCACCAATACAGATGACATGCACGTATCACTCAGACGTATCACGCATACAGATGAAATGCACATATCACTCAGACGTATCACCCATACAGATGAAATGCACATATCACTCAGAAGTATCACGCATACAGATGAAATGCACGTATCACTCAGACGTATCACACACACAGATGATATACACGCATCACGCAGGCGCATCACACAAACAGATAACATGCACGTACCACGCAGATGTATCACATATACAGATAACATGTACGTACCACACAGACGTATCACACATTTAGATAAAATGCACGTATCACACAGACGTATCACACATACAGGTGACATGCACGTACTACTCAGACAAATCACATGCACGCATCAAACAGACCTGTCACGCATGCAGATGATATACACGCATCACACAGTACATGTATCACGCATGCAGATGACACGCACGTATAACTCACACGGATCACATGACCGTATATCAGGCGTATCACATATACAGATAACATGCACATATCACACAGACGTATCACACAGAAAGATAACATGCACATATCACACAGACGTATCACACATAAAGATAACATGCAAGTATCACGCATCACACAGACGAATCAGGGATACAGATGAAATGCACGTATCAATCAGACGTATCACACAGAAAGATAACATGCACATATCACACAGACGTATCACACATAAAGATAACATGCACATATCACACAGACGTATTGCGCATACAGATGACATGCACGTATCACTCAGACGTATCACACATACAGATAACATGCACGTATCACACAGACGTAACCCACATACAGATGATATGCACGCATCACACAGACGAATCAGGCATACAGATGACACGCACATATGACTCACACTCATCACATGCACGTATCATTCAGACGTACACTATCACATGCACGTATCGCTCAGACGTATCACGCATACAGATGACATGCACGTATCACTCAGACGTATCACATATACAGATGACATGCACGTATCACACAGACGTATCACATGCACGTATCAGACAAACGTATCACATATACAGATGACACGCACGTATCACTCAGACGTATCACGCAAACAGATGACATGCAAGTATGACTCAGACGTATCACACACAGTTGTCATACACGCATCACACAGGCGTATCACAGATACAGATGACGCTAGTGGCCATGGCAACGGTAGCATTTTAGTATACACAACTAGCAGCTTAGTAGCCCACTAGTACCTGCACACCCTCGGCCATTTAACCCAATCTCATCTTCTGTTTTTATTTTAGGCACGGGCATCCACGGCTCGGTGGCCCGTGCGTCTCTTCGCATATCGCGGGATAACACGCATATAGATGACATGCACGTATCACTCAGACGTATCACGCATACAGATGACATGCACGTATCACTCAGGCATATCCAGCATACATATGACATGCACGTATCAATCAGGCATATCACGCATACAGATGACATGCACGTATCAATCAGACGTATAACACACACGGACAGTTGATATACCCGCATCACACAGACGTATCACACATACAGATAACATGCACATATCACAAAGACGTATCACACATACAGATAATATGCCCGTATCACACAGACGTATCACATATACAGATAACATGCACATATCACAAAGACGTATCACGCAGACAGATTACATGCACATGTCACACAGACGTATCACACATACAGATGACATGCACGTATCACCCAGACATATTACACCAAAGACAACATGCACGTATCACTCAGACGTATCACACGTAGAGATGACACGCACGTATAACTCACACGGATCACATGAACGTATATCAGGCGTATCATACATACAGATGACATGCACGATTCACTCAGACGTATCACGCATGCAGATGACACGCACATATCATTCAGACGTATCACACATACAGATAACATGCACATATCCCACAGATGTATTACACATACAGATAAGATGCACATATCACACAGACGTATCACACATAAAGATAACATGCAAGTATCACACAGACGTATTACACATACAGATGACATGCACGTATCACTCAGATGTATCACACATACAGATAACATGCATGTATCACACAGACGTATCACACATACAGATGACATGCACGCATCACACAGACGAATCAGTGATACAGATGACATACACGTATCAATCAGACGTATCACACATACAAATGACATGCACGTATCACTCAGACGTATCACGCATGCAGATGACACGCACATATCATTCAGACGTATCACACATACAGATTATATGCACGTATCACACATACGTATCACATATACAGATAACATGCATATATCACACAGACGTATCACACATACAGATAACATGGACGTATCACACAGACGTATCACACATACAGATAACATGCACGCATCACACATACGTATCACACATACAGATGACATGCACGCATTACACAGACATATCACACATACAGATGATACGCACATATCACACACACTCATTAGATGCTTGTATCACTCAGACATATCCCACATACAGATGACACGCACATATGACTCACACTCATCACATGCATGTATCATTCAGACGTATCACATGCACGTATCGCTCAGACGTATCACGCATACAGATGACATGCACGTATCACTAAGACGTATCATACACAGATGATATACACTCATCAAACAGGCGTATCACAGATACAGATAATATGCACGTATCACACAGACGTATCACACATACAGATGACATGCACGTATCACACAGACGTATTACACCTAAGAAACAATGCACGTATAACTCAGTCGTATCACGCATATACATGACATGCACGTATCACTCAGACGTATCAAACACACGCACAGTTGATATACACGCATCACACAGACGTATCACATATACAGAAAACATGCACATATCACACAGACGTATGACACATACAGATAATATGCACGTATCACACAGACGTATCACACATACAGATAACATGCACGTATCAAAAAGACGTATCACACATAAAGATGACATGCACGTATCAATCAGACGTATCGAACACACGCACAGTTGATATACACGCATCACACAGACGTATCACATATACAGAAAACATGCACATATCACACAGACGTATGACACATACAGATAATATGCACGTATCACACAGACGTATCACACATACAGATAACATGCACGTATCACACAGACGTATCACACATAAAGATGACATGCACGCATTAATCTGACGTATCAAACACACGCACAGTTGATATACACGCATCACACAGACGTATCACATATACAGAAAACATGCACATATCACACAGACGTATGACACATACAGATAATATGCACGTATCACACAGACGTATCACACATACAGATAACATGCACTTATCACACAGACGTATTACACATACAGATGACATGCACGTATCACACAGACGTATTACACATACAGATGACATGCATGTATCACTCAGACGTATCACACATACAGATGACATGCACGCATCACACAGACGTATCATACATACAGATGACACGCACATATGACTTACACTCATCACATGCTTGTATGACTCAGACGTATCACACATACAGATGACACGCACATATGACTCACACTCATCACATGCACGTATCATTTAGACGTATCACATGCACGTATCGCTCAGACGTATCACGCATACAGATGACATGCACGTATCACTGAGACGTATCACACACAGTTGATATACACGCATCAAACAGGCGTATCACAGATACAGATGACATGCACGTATCACTCAGACGTATCACATATACAGATGACATGCACGTATCACACAGACATATCACATGCACGTATCACACACACGTATCACACATATAGATGACATGCACGTATCACACAGACGTATCATACATACAGATGACACGCACGTATCACTCAGACGTATCACGCAAACAGATGACATGCACGTATCACTCAGACGTATCACACACAGTTGACATACACGCATCACATAGGCGTATCACAGATACAGATGACATGCACGAATCACTCAGACGTATCACACGTAGAGATTACATGCTCGTATCACACAGACGTATGTACGCATACAAATGACATGCACGTATCAATCAATCAATCTTTATGGTATGACAGGCCATTGGCCCATATACACATACAGAAAAACAATATCGTTTACAGCTGTACAGCGCATTATATAATTATTGGATAACTAATATGATGCTTGACATGTATTAGAGGTATTGTAATAACAGTGGAAATAACCACAGTGGCAGTAGTAGTATAAAATACAAAAGGAATGGAATAGCATAGCACGACGTTCAATACAAAATAATCTATCAGTAATATACTCATCATGTCATGACAATTTGACAATTTAAATGTATATGCATTTCTAGTAGAAACAAACAGACAAAAATGAAATGTAGATACTCCTGATCTAGATGCGAAAGTTTCAAAACAACTATTTTTTTCTGCACATATCGGATTCACTAAGTAATTTACTACGCACTCGTAGACTTTGATAGATGTATTGTAATATCTTAGTTAATTTTTGACTAGGGGTACCATTAAAAGATAGTATTTTGTTCATGGAATAGTGGTTTTTAGTGATATCAGGCATATATTTCAATCTTAGGTTGTCGTAAATTGGACATATAAACAAAAAGTGTAATTCGTTTTCAATATGGTTTTCGCAGAATGGACAAAAACGCATATCCTTAGGAATAGAGGAGAAGCGACCCCTGTTGCACATCAAATCATTTAACCCTAGCCTAAGTTTGATAAATGTGTCTCTAATTTTTCTCTCTGTTATAGTATGCAGGTAAACCTCTGGTGTTTGACAATATTTAAAGGTATTATAGACGTCGTAGCGTGTACTGTTATCTAGTGACGACCTCCAGTTTTGAGTAAACATATCAATTGCTACCTGCTTAAAAGAGCTAAGAAAATACATTTTGTCTCCAACGCTTTGATTTAGCCAAACATATCCAAATCCGTGAGAGAAGAGTAAATGCTTAATGTTTGATGCCCAGGTTACGTAACCAACACTATCACGATAGACAAGCATTTCGTAGCATTTTCTTGGGATTCGTTCCCGCGACATCTCTGTTATTTTGAGCCAGTATCTGAGTAAACGTAAATATGAACAAATATATAACGGGTATCTACAACATTCGCCATAGACCATATGATTTGGAGCTGATTTAGAAACATTTAGAAATCTTTTACATGCAGTTAAGTGTACCTTTTCAATATTGTAATAGGTTTCAAAACCCCAGACCTCTGATCCATATAATAAGATTGGTTGAACTTGAGCATCAAACATTTTGAAGAAAATAGTAGGTGAGATAACACGCAATTTATCTAGGACGACAAATAGATTTATTAGGGCCTTTTTTGCTCGTAGGGCGAGATCGTTAACTGGATGTTTAAGATTAAGGTTAAACGGTAAAACAACACCGAGGTATTTATACATGTTTGTAACATTTATAGGGTGGTTATTGAAGAACCATTTATCTCTCGATGCAAGAGGACCGCCTCTCCTAAATACGATAATATTAGTTTTTTCCAAGTTAACAGATAGCTTCCATGTAACAGTGTAACTGTATAGTATATCAATTTGTTTCTGGAGTCCGATAATAGAGTCAGAGACTAGAATCACGTCATCGGCAAAAAGTAATATAAGTAATTCATAAAGGTCAGGGTATAATTGCACTCCGTGTTTACCGTTTTGTTGAACATCGAAGGAAAGCTCATTAATGAAGAATGAAAATAGGAGAGGACTCAAGATACAACCTTGTTTAACTCCCATGGGGCAGTCAAAATAATCGGTGACTCCACTATTATGTCGTACACAAGATTTTACATTTTCATACATTGATTTTAAAATAGTAAACATTTTCCCACCAACACCAGCTGCCCTAAGACAATCCCAAAGTTTACATCGGTCAACAGTGTCGAAAGCTTTTTTAAAATCTACAAACGCAATATAGAGTTTTCGTTTTCGGCATCCGAGATATCTCTGAACAATAGCATAAAGTGAGAAAATATTATCAGCAGGTGAATATGATTTTCTAAAGCCAGCTTGAGTTGGTGGGATTTTGTCAAAAACATTAGCCCAGGTAGTAAGACGATTGTTTAGAATTATAGCAAACAGTTTACCTAAGATGCTCATTCAGACGTATCACATGCGCGTATCACACACACGCATCACACATATAGATGACATGCACGTATCACACAGACGTATGACACATACAGATGACACGCACATACGACTCACACTGAGCACATGCACGTATCACACAGAGGTATCACGCATACAGATGATATATACGCATCACACAGATGTATCGCGCATGCAGATGACACGCACGTATAACTTACACGGATCACATGAACGTATCACTCAGACGTTTCACACATAGAGGTTACATGCTCGTATCACACAAAGGTATAACGCATACAGATGACATGCACGTATCAATCAGACGTATGACATGCACGTATCACACACACGTATCACACATATAGATGACATGAACGTATCACACAGACGTATCACACATACAGGTAACACGCACGTACTACTCAGACAAATCACATGTACGCATCAAACAGACCTGTCACGCATACAGATGGTATACATGCATCACACAGATGTATCACGCATGCAGATGACACGCACGTATCACTCAGACGTATCACGCATACAGATGACATGCATGTATCACTCAGACGTATCAGGCATACAGATGACACTCACGTATCACTCAGACGTATCACGCATACAGATAACATGCACGTATCACAGAGCCGTATGACACACAGAGATGATATACACGTATCACACAGACGTATCACATATACAGATAACATGCACGGATCACACAGACGTATCACACACACACACACACATATATATATATATATATGTATATATTTATGTATATATATATATATATAAATATAAATATAACATGCACGTATCACACAGACGTATCACATATACAGATAACATGCACGTATCACACAGACGTATCACACATATAGATTACATGCACGTATCACACAAACGTATCCCACATATAGATAACATGCACGTATCACACAAACGTAACCCACATATAGATAACATACACGTATCACACAGACGTATCACACATACATATGACATGCACGTATCACACAGACGTATCACGCATACAAATGACATGCACGTATCACACAGACGTATCACGCATACAGATGAGATGCACGTAGCATTGAGACGTATCACATGCACGTATCACACAGACGTATCACGCATACAGATGAGATGCACGTATCATTCAGACGTATCACATGCACGTATCACACAGACGTATCACACCTACAGATAACATGCACGTAGCACACAGACGTATCACACATACAGATAACATGGACGTATCACACAGATGTATCACACACACGGCTGATATACTCGCATCACACAGACGTATCACAAATACAGGTGACATGCACGTACTACTCAGAAAAATCACACGCACGCATCAAACAGACGTCATACGCATACAGATGATATATACGCATGACACAGACGTATCACACAAATAGATGACATGCACGTATCAAACATAAGATGATATGCACGTATCACTCAAACCGATAACATGAACGCATCACACAGACACGTCACAAACACAGAGCACACAGACATAACGACATAGCCCTCACACCGGTTACGGGGACGGGTGATATAATTTGATCCAATACACGGGTAACACAGGCGGATAACACAGATTAACCACGCATTTGTATTATGCAGACATATCACAAAGACGGATCACACACACACAGATCACGAGATTCATATAACTCTCTCTTTGTATGTTGTTTCAGATAGATTCAATGCTCACATGTCTTATTGAACGGTGTAGGGTAGCACAGTTTAGGACCATCGTCTATAACGAGCCAGTCCAAGTAACAGTTGGTAGTTGTTTCCAGGTCCAGCTCAACCAGGTCTATGATGATGCTCTCGGTCTGCCCATCCCCCACGATGACATACGTGCAGTTGAGGTAATTGATGTAGTTGCCAGGGTAGCCAGGACTGGTAATCTCACCCTCACTGGCGGTCAACGTCATTGAGCAGCTCTCTGACCATGAGAGAAATCAGGACTATAACCATTTGTGGCCTAAGCATTTCCTGAAGGTGATCACATAACGAACTAACAGAATGCATTAGTATCTTAACCTTACAGCAACACGTGAGTTTTGCTAAATACCCAACGATTGTTGACGTTGATTTATAACTGTGCAATAAGAAACATGCAGTAGTTGTATGTTTGGAAGACAATAACTGTCTACGAAATGATACCATTTGTTTTGAGAATATGTATATAAGATAGCTTCACGAAAATTCGCAAAGTACAATGAAGAAAGATGTGTGGTTTATTTCACGATAAAACATTGTTTTCAGAGATACGATACAACTTGATGAAGTCATACATTGTACGACATTATTTTTGAGAGAGGAGAGTCTAGTGAGTTGCTACCCAATAGATGTTACTGGCAACCACCGGGAAAAAAGATGGCCGCAGGATTGCATATAAAAGCGGGAGAGATATGACAATCGATGTTGGGAGAAAAGGTACTGGTAATCGATGTGAGGATTGTGAGAATATGCCAGAAATACCCACCTGGGCATAAAATTGAGTTGTCCGATATTGCCGAGGTCGGATTCTATTCAGGGTGTCATCATTATTTTAATACGGGTAAATATTTTGATGTTATCATCATCTTTAAAGAGGCTGTGTATGCTGTTGATATCTCATAGGAGAAATAAACTACTCGTGATCGATGATTATCGTACAAGTATATTTCCAAAATAGATAGGCGACAAATTGCAAAGAACAATGAAGAAGGAAGCGTGGTTTGTTTCACGACAAAACATTATTTTTTTACTTGATTACGGCATATATTGGCCGACGTTATTTTTGAGAGGGAAGTGTCTTATAAGTTGTCCCCCATAAATGTATCTGGGCTACGCTGGTAAACGCATTGGCCGAACGATCACATTAAAAACAGTGAAAACATTATCGGCGGCAGACTTTTGCCTTGCATTACTCCCACAAATGACGAAAGGGACTCAGAGTAACGATTATCAGGAAATCTTGCACAGGACATAACGTCTCTAAAAAAATAGTGTTAAGAAGATCAAGAAATTTGGAACTTACTCCCAGAGAATACAACTTGTGCCATAATGCTTGCTTAAAAAACCGTGCGAAGTTCTACAAATGCGCATTATATTTCCTCATGGTTCATTATCCCTGCAGTGTTTTATTGTATGATAAACAACTGTATATGCCAGGTCGGCAATATGTGAACATTCTGAACCAAATGGATTATGTGCAATGACTCAAATTCAATGGATCTTGTGTTAGACTTTTGAATTGTAATCACTGATACTTACTCTCGAGTTTTGTGAGTAGACTGCCATAATTAAATTGATTTTAAATTGTTGCGTGATTTCTATTTGATTTGTATGGAGACTGCAAAATGGATCCACTTGTAACACATTATTCTAATTCTCACTCTGTTAAGCATATAGACAATGGAAAGGTGATGAGTCAGTACCAGATTGAAGGGGACAACCAGGGCCATTTAGCACAGAGTAGTTTTAGTTTTAAAACAGTGACATCACTGCAGGACACTGTCTGATTTGTTTTATTACATATGCATAAAGATTGACTATGATTCTGCAAAGGAGGAAAATTAGTTTACAACTTTCAGTCGACCTTTAGAAAGAAGAGCAAACGGAAAGACTTGAGCATGAATCCCCCCTAAAATATATAGTTAAAGAAATGAGCGGAACAATCAACACGTGTGTGGCGAATAATGCTTTTCTGAAACATAATAAATATACATTTGTAGGTGTTATAAAGCATATTTATATAAACAAACTCTATATAGTTACAAAAATGGTTGACAATAAATTGCCCACACATAAAAGAAATAATACGCTACACTGCCCAGATTAGTGGCACTTGAATTTGAAGTAAAACGTTTGCTGCACCTGCAGCATGCCAACCTACAAATATATGGGATTACAAGGAAAGATATACTGTTCACTAACACCCAAACCGTTGGACAGTGACAAATACCATGCTAAGATTAAGATTGGTATGATACATCACGGGACAACACGTGACCACGTTGCAAGGGGTTTGGCTGTGGCCGAATGACAGTAACCAGGTGCATGTCATGTTACAGGCAGAGTGGGTGGAAGAGAACCGGGTATGGAGATGGCAAACCTCCTATTACCATCACCCAGGGAAACGTTACACACGCATCCTCTATCTGAGAAATTGTATTATCACAGTAACGTCATCATCTGCAACAATAATCAAGTCAGTTGTTGGACAGTGTCCAGCTTCAGTACAATATACAGACCACTGCCACAGGTAACGCTGACACGAGAACAGTGACATCGATGGGCATTCATACTGCAACCCTGGTAGAACTGAAACTGTCATGTTCACAGGAGAGAATGTTACATTCCAAAGGGGTTTCAAGTGTATATTCCGTCGTGATGGTCGATCGATTACTGGACAACTGTCCCCCATACCCTAAATATGGACCTCTATTTTTGTTCTAATTCACGGCATAATGTAACTTGTAATGACTTTGATAATTCATGTCTTTTGACAATACAGTTATCGTCCTGAACATTGGTCCTGTTCTGTTTTAAAGAAAATAATAATGTTGGTTAGTGAGGTTTCTTGGCTTGTCATTTTTGTTGCTATTTTTATTTACATATGTTTATGTTGTATTGTTTTCAAGTAAAGATAAACTAGGCTTAATCGGCATTTCACACCACAGTCAACAACTGTTTCAGTCATTTCACAGCGGGACAAGTGGAGTCAATAACTATGTCCAAGGATACAACACAGTGACTTGCATGATATGACATCTTATGCTCATGTCTCATGTTAAGAGTTAAGGCTTTGCTAATGAACTACGCTGTCTTGGTGGCTGAAAATATTTGTTCAAGCATATGAAGGCTGAGTTGATAATTTACATCAAGCCCCTAGAAAATAAAATGGGCCACCCCTTAATTAATACGAATCAACAGTGACTATTAAGGCAATTAAACCCTTGCCTTATGTCAGTATAATCATCTCTTCAAAGATGTCATCCACATTTACCATTTAGAGCTCATGTCATTTGTCAAGTTATTCACTACACACCTAGCCTTATCAAGTCCCTATGTTTAAGATTATGGCTTTGAACACAACGTATTTTGCATTGATGAGGATGGCGATATTGCGGTTGACATTATTTATTGACGCTAAACAATTTTTTCAAGCAGCTGGTGGATCCATACCAAAACATATTTTTATGATAAGCCTTCTTCTAATATGACATTGTAATCAGTTCTAAAAGTATTGTTCATAACAGCAAGACTTTCTTTGGTATTTAGTATAGGCCTTCTTTGCCATTGAACTGACACTATTTTATCTTTTAATGGGAATCCATATGCACACACAATGTCCAGAAGTTGTTCAATGAACTCATTTCTTTATCATAACCCTGAACTAAGCTGGCTATTGTTCAGTTCTTACTAAAAGTATGATTTGAATCGAAGTATACAAACCTTACCTTCAACAACGTAGTTGACAACAAAGCCACCACAAGAGTCTACAGATCGGTCTCCATCATGGGTCACAATGTCTACACTGCCAAAAAATGCATCTGAAACAAACAAGACGTTAGTATTGGTTAACTGTATATGTAATTCCACCTCAGTTGCGCACAAATAGTTGGGCACAAAGGTTCTATACATAAGTAATGTCTTATTGGCACAGGTTCTCTTTTGACATGGTTTGTAAACCATGTAAAAGAATTAAAACATTGAACAGTAATATACATCTATACATCTTTGGATCTAGACATCAACTGGTACACGTGACATGACAAATAATGCCACAGATAAGGCCAGTATGTTAACTGAGGAAGAAAACTTCCCCAACCATGCGTCAGTTCTATCATTATTGGGTTGACTATAAAACCTGAATTCCTCTTTTATCCTGGATTCCAAAGCTCCATAAAATTCGTACAAAGGTATATATATATTTCTATGCCCAGCAAGTGTACCACCGAATCCCTGTCTAAATGACTAACCATAGATAATCCGTAATACATTCCAGGAAGGTCTTTCTTGATATTCTTGGATTCATAAAAACTCAAAGGAATTGCTTGACTTTTCACAATCTCAGAAAAAAAGCAGGTTGAATTCTGTTAAAAGGTTTGGTTTTTCAAATTTGTACACCCTGTATCCCACATGACAAACTTGATGAAAAAATTCAACCCGTGATCCAGGGGGCTTTTGTCACAAAACGAGGTGACCATAGACATTGTTGCAGATCTATCTTCAGACGTTCACGTCAATATGTCAAAAATGAAAGTAAATGCTATTAGAAGTTTACTGAGAAATGCTTGACTTCCTCATTCGCAACATCAATGTAGAATTTAGGGGTAAGACATCCAGGCAAGAAATACTCACCCCCCCTTCTTGTTTCTTTATGCATATGAATGGCATAGTTAATACAAGGTAAGCTTGTAGCTTAAGCTTCAGTTGTATCGATGATTCGATGTCGTTCAATAACCATGAAAAAGCCAATTCCCTTCCACTGATTTATCTGCCTGAACTAGAAATAAAGGAGACCAGTGAGACAGCCTCATAGTTACATCTTTGTATACAGATTCAGAGTGACTAAACACTCTCCACAAGATTGTGTGACAATGGGGATGACTTCAACTTCCAGTAGTCAACGTTCCTTTTATGTCTAGCAACATTCCTGCAGCCCCAGCCCTTGTAACTTTGTATGCTCTTTTCGCAAAGATTTCAAAGACCGCCTCACGACCCTTGCTCAGAGGCCGTTTGATCAAGGTTACAACATTCATGGCCTCTGGAAATCTTTCAAAAAGTTTTCTGTAAGACATGTGGAGGACATTTCCAAATCTGACGCATCACTGACAAGAATGATGTCCCATCCAATTCCCTATTTTGACTTGTACCATATGTTCCCGTGTTTTCTTTAAGGTAAACATATGACTTGCATGTGTTTGTAACGAATGCCAAAGCTGGGTCAGGATACAGTCACCTTTTCGTGAACATCTTGTATCATCACTATTTGATAGTGATTCATAAACACATTCTCGTGATATTGTGGGATTCGTACGATCGACTCTGGTTTGGGTAGAGTTTTCTTATGAAAATGGAACGTGTTTTGTCGCTTTTATGTATAAAATCTGTGCTCGCTAAATCCCTTAGGAATCGGTTTTTGGACCATTGATGGTAATGGTAGTTTTTATAAATGATAGTTATCAGAAAATGGGTAAGTTTCACGATGAGATAAAGCCAACGGATAAACACGGTATCCGTTTCGTTTATATACAAAAAATGATACCCATACCAGGAAGGTACTACTTTAAGTGTTTGCAAACAACATATCGCCGCCATTGTCTATCAACGATCGAGTCAGAAGTAACCATCGGGGATCTGGACAAATTACTTGAATGATTATATTCATGATCAAATAAAAGTTTACTTACCGAAAATCAGTGTTTAAGGTGGACGTTACTAGCGACATTTAAGATATAAATTTAGCGAGGACACTAGCGCAGGTGCAAGATCAGTTTCCATACGTTTTGTGTGTCGACCTCTGTGCCTTGGGGTCTTTCTCAAACTTTAAAACTTTGTTATATTTTGTCGCAGTGTGGACATCTCACTGCATTTTCGTAAGGTTATGACAGGCCAGACAAACAAACATGACGTCTCACAGACTTGAGTAACTTCCCTTTGATTTAAGGCAATTTCCCTAGCGGGTGGACCGATACATGGTCGTGTAAGGCAAGTAGAAATAATATGTGCAGGCAATTGTTCCTTTGCCAAAATGTAGTTACGACACTGACTTTAAACTGTTTCAGTATGTAAAATATAGTGACTGTTACTGTATGACTGACTAATCAATGAGTTTAGCGATGATTCTTGTGACGATCTGGGTTAGAACAGGTCCTACAAAAAGGCAAAGGAACACATGCTTGTCGTAAGAGGCGACTAACGGGATCGGGAGGTTAAGCTCGTTGATGAAAGTTTATGCATGTCATCATGTCCCAATTACGTAGATCAATGCTTATATGAATCACTGAATTGTCTGGTCCAGACTCGATTATTTACAGACCGCCATCATATGCTGCGTACGGCCTTAAACAACAAGCAAACGAACAATCAAACAAAAGTTCTGTTTCAAGAATGGCGTTATATGCTAAAAAGGCTATCACTCTTTCGTGTTTTTGCATGGTAAAGGACCGGTACTATGGATAAACACTACGCATTCTATACATTACTTATCACTACTTTAGATAATTGATAATATACTCTTAAAAAAAGGAAACGCAAAGCCCGAGGTAGGAAAAAACATTTATACAAGGAACCGTACATGGTATTGAGCCAAAGTGTTGTGTAGAAAACCTTTTATGATTGTGGTCATCTCACTCATGAGGTAAAGGTCAGCTACCATCAATAACGCATATGTCCCCCGTTGGAAACGATAGCGGCCTGCAATTTGGAGTAGTGGTGTGGTAGGAGAATTTCGTTGATGTATCGCTGAGCCGTAAGATAGCCCTGGATATGGAGCAAACATGTCCTGCCATGATGAAAGATATGCGCCCACATCATTACGTTACCCCCACCACACCTTTCAACTTCCTGAACGCAGTTTCCGGCGTAACGTTCTCCCCGACGTCTGTAGACCCGTGCTACTCCATACCTTCGACGGAGGAGAAATATTGATTCGTCGCTGAGCCAGACATCTCTCCATCGCAGTTGAGGCCATACCCTGTGTTGATGACACCAATGCAGTCGTTGTTGACGATGTTGTCGACTCAATATGACGCGTCGAACAGGACGTCTTGCTCGTAGACCTGCTCCTCTTAAACGGTTATGTACGGTCTGGTCGGAGATTCTGCGCAGACCGGGTAATTGGGATGCGGTTGAGGTGACTGTGGTCGTCCTGTTATGTAGGTAGCGCAGTCGGATGTAGCGATCTTGGGCGTTGGTGGTTACTCTTGGTCGTCGGGACCTTGGCCGATCACGTGTTGACCCATGCTGTTGAAACAGATCCCATAGCCTTGTGATTTTGCTGGGCGCTACATTGTAAACCCTGGCTGCCTGCAAGCGGCCTATAACGTTGTTTCTTTGCACTTCTGTTGATCTTGGCATGTTGTTGAACTGTCACTGTTCGATTGACGCAGATGCAAGGCAATCAAAAACCCTACACTTTAATACCGTTCATAGTGCTGCTGCACATGTAGTGCGTGTAGCTCCATGCCCCTTTTGTTAATGCACTGGGTTCGTTTTCAGAACCATACGTGTTCCCCGACTAATGGTTTGCATGTCCTTGTTGTGATCATTTTAATCCGGGATATTTGTCACTGACACTATAGCACATAAAACCTCTTCATTTTGCACCTTTGGTCTGCTAATTTTGCTTTTATGGTAAAAAATATCCGTTTTGCGTTTCTTTTTTTTGAAGAGTATATTTATCCAAATGAGCAAAAAATTTGAACGTCATTTATATTCCTAACAGAATGTAGAAAGAGAACCGTAACTCCAGTGTCAGACCTTTTAGTGAATAACATTAGTTAATGTCCTTAAAAGCTTTGAATTAACTTTGTCGAGTGATGATCAGTGGCAAACGCATGTCAATGGTATTATTACCAAAGCGAGCCCTATGATCAACTGTTTACGACTTTTTAAATGTCACCTTTAGAACCTTTAAACATTCATCTTACCATTGTTTGAAAAATAAACATATAACATAAATGACATGGGCTATTCATTGTAAATGTCAACTAAGTTGCAATGAGTTTAATGGTCACAAATTTCATCGTTATACAATGTAATCATCTTGCCCTTGAGGAGTCCTTTCTTATTCCAGTGCTCAGATTGTACTTAAATGAGATCAATATGTTATTTGTACACCAATATATCAATTCTGTGTTATTCGGCCATTCCAGTTTATCAGATACACTGAATTTGAGAATAATTACAACTGTCTCTGATTGTTTATCATTATAAAATAAACATGAAGCGTCATTGCCAGCGAGTAACCCATCACGATTGTCCCACATATTCCTTTGGGCGTAAAAGGCAAACTGGCGGTGAAAATTATGTGGAAGGATCACAGAAAATTAATTATAACACCAGATTCTCGAGGAAAGGGTAAGCATGTCCCGCCCTACCGGTAGAAACCGCTATGCAAAAAATTTGCATAAAATGTGACCCGTGCAGATTTCCGGGTTAATATTGGTCTTCAGCAACCCATGCTTGGAGTAAGAGGCGACTAACGGGTTAAACTCGTTGATGCTTGTCATCGTACCCTTATTGTGTAGATCGCTGTACATGATGTCAATCACTGAATTGTCTGGTCCAGACACGATTATTTACAGACCGTCGTCATTTCGATGGAATATTGCTGAGTGCGGCGTTAAACAATATCCAACAAACAAAAACGCATAAACTGTCAGTGTTTGTTTGTTGCATGACGCCGCACTCCACTGCAGTTGTCCTGCCACGCTATGGTGGCATACAATCAAACCAGGGTCCCGTTGCATAAAAGCGGTCGTAACGCCTGGACTATCGTAATCCTATGTTAAAGTATGAGTTACGATCGCCTTAATGATACGATATATGTTTGCAATGGGGCCCTGACAAGAAATCCAGACACACGATAGCGCATTTACTGATGAAAAGGTTATCTGCTGTGTACAAGTGCAGAGATTTTCCTTATCATTAGTCAAGAAAAAGAAAACGTTTAGAAGAATATGTTTGATTGGCAACATCCACAGAGTGTGTTATATTTACAACTTTTCTACACATATACATTATTTTCGTATCGCAAAAATCCAATATTGATGATAAAAATTGTATTATTTTATATCACATATATGATATTTTTCGATATGGAACCACCTGGGAGTCATTATAAAATAATTTTATCCTTAAAATCGAATTTTAAGACATGTTGTTTTTCATTATAGTAACCTAAGAAACAGCATAGGAATGTAAAGCCTGAATGAACCGTTAATTTAAACACTCGTACATCGGTAAAGAACTATCTAATCACTCAGGGAACATTATGAAATAGTTTGTCAGCAACTACACACAAAATCGATTTTGAGCGCTCACTAAAAGTGTTCAACGTTTTTTTATAAATACTTGTATTGAACAAGTCTGAAAACAAATAGGACTGTAAAGACTGCGTGAACGGCCCCATGTATGATATTGTAGAAAATAATTGGCAGCCATGTCTGTGTAACTAAGTACGCAAATATCGGGAACCACAACATTATAGGTAACATTATACAATGGTTTGTGAGCCAGTAACAACCACATCGAAGTACAGAGCTTATTAAACGTATTTACCATTACGTGATAATTAGTAACTTTGGGTTGTTACTAGATATGTCTTAAAATAGACAAATATTGTATAATATATAGAATCGTTTCAACAGTCACATCTGAAGTTATAGAAAGAAAACACATTAGATTAATTTGTCAGAACGTCACACAGACAGCATCAATGTTTCAGCTTACAGATTGTTGCAAAAGGGGTTGAGGTGCATATCCTTGGTCCGCCATCTATGGTAAACCATCCGAGATCACAGTTAGCGCTGGTCGTGTAGTTGAGAGTTAGTATTTGTAACTTCCCACTGGCTATGATGGTGTTGGTGCAGTTGTTGTAGGTGCAGTTGCAGGAGTAACATGGCGTCAATATCTGCCCAGATGTCTTTAAGTGGATGGAAGTGCAGTTGTCTGTAACATGGGGATTAAATGTATGCCAAGCGTCTTTCATTCTCTATTTCAATAATCCCCAATCCCACGAAACTGCAGACAACATCAGTTATTCACTGTGTTGACGTCATATACGAACACTCGATTGCAATATGTATCTGATATTTCCATCATACCATGAACATTAATTGCCATTTCAGGTTTCAATAACTTTAACTGTTTTAACTTCCGACTAAAGAGTACCGGTATTTTGATTCATAATCATCTAATCGCCATAAGGATATTCATACTCAGTTATATCTGTTACATGAGTTGAGTCGAAGTTGTTTTTTAGAACCTACCACTATACTCACGAATAATCGAGAATGAATAAGTGAGTTTGTATTTCTTTGATGGAAGCGTTACGTTTAATGTCACTCTGACATATACAGTAGAATCGAATTTCACTTGTGTGCTTCGATTGGTACCTTCGTAGCAGGTGTTATTTCTTATACATAGACTTGTTTTGGCCATAATTCGTTAATTGCAGTTCAGTAATCCTTTCTTAACTTACACCCAAGTCCAACATATTCAGTAGAATACAAAAGGCAACATAAGAGATTCACATTTGACAGGTTGACAGAATCTAGGTTGTGAATGGAATACTTTAATTGTTATGGGGAACTGAAAATGCGATAACTGATTATAACGAATAAATAATGTCTTTTCAAGCAATGAAATAGTGTACCGTTTACGTCAATAGCATATCGTATCTTAAACCCTCTTCCAGTGTTGCTGGTATCACTTCTAAAGTTGATGACGAATCTATCCCTAAAGGCATCTGAAACACAAACGTTGCTACTATCATCTTACAAGATTTGTGTGATCAATAGAATATGTGAACGCCTTTGTAAGCATTAATTATATTGGAGTTGAATCTCTTACTTAAACTTGGATAACATGTTTGTGAGATGAACCCTGAGATGTGAAAGCTGCCCCTCACTTTAGTAGTAGAAACAAATCGCCTTCAATTGTATTCCTACGTGTCATTCGAGGACAAATCACATAAACGTAACTTATAAACGGATAATAAAGACATATCAAATGGTCTATCACCCTGACGTATCACAGAGATGAGGTGGTGAGATAAAATGGGATTTAACGCCTCGTTCAAGATTATTGCACTTGTATTGCGACGTTCATGGACGTGTATGTGGCTGCTTGTACTAGTCAGGACTGATGATGATTTTACCCCACGTAGGTACCATGCCGCAGTTTAACATGAATACCACACTCAGACACAGTATACTGACTCCGACCTGACTAGTCTGTGTTTTAGTCGTTAATGCCGAGCAACAGGGAAAGTAAAACTAAGTACCATCTTGTAATGTCTTTTGCTATTCTGCTCTTCAGGCAGACGTTCTACTACCAGACCAATGTTATGATTTATCATTATAAGACTGATCACATATCATACAAATGATTCTCTTAAACGGAAAACATGCACGAATCTCACAGGCGGACCATATTCACGTATCTTACAGTCCATTCACACAGATGTATCATACATTTGGGCCACTCAGTTGGACCATGTATACGGATCATACTGGCATGTCACACAGACGTATCATTCTGGCAGATCACACAGCAATATGTCACTCACACGTGTCACACAGACGGGCACAGACACGGGTGACACAGTTTGGTCAAATAGACGGGTCACACAGAAGGACCACTCACATGATTCACAAAGATGGATTAGACAGAGGCAAAATATAGACGGATCATGCATTTTATGTACACTATCTTTTAATGTCACTTCAGACAGATTAAATGCTTACATGTCTTATGGAACGGTGTAGCATAGCACAGTTTTGGGCCACCGTCTATAATGAGCCAGTCGTTGCTACAACCGGAAACTGTTTCCAGAGCCAGGTCAACCAGGTCTATGGTGATTGTGTGGTTCTGCCCATCGCCCACGATGACATACGTGCAGTCGAGGTTGTTGATGTAGCTGCCAGGGTAACCAGGACTTGTAATATTACCCTCACTGGCGGTCAACGCCATCGAACAGTTATCTGACCATAAGAGAAAACAGGACATATAACAACTTGTGGCCTTTCCTGGCGGTGATCACCTAAATGCATTATCATTTTAACCTCACAGCAACACATGTATGCATGTTTTTTTTTTGTTTTTTTTAACGCCGCACTCAGAAATATCACAGCGACATAGGAGTTGTACTAAATACACAACGATGGTTTGCGCTGATTCATAATTGTGACAAATATAACATGGAGAATTCGTATTTATGTAACACCTTCATTTTCTACAATATAATATCATTTTTATATTAACATTCTCATTTTACCGAAGTTGTCGGGTATGTGTATGCAATAACGTACATCCGAACTATAATACCCATAGCACGAGGTCATGGCGTTTTCGGTTGTGTTGCGTGTTGGCTACACACATAGCTACACAATACACTGCGGTAAGGACGCTTCGCGGTCAGGCATACATAATATTGACTGACTTTCTTGCCAAATCACAAAAATTGTTATCCTCAGGCGTGGCATTACAACCGTGTAAAGTACCAACAAAACAATGCGATCTAGCATGGAACATGGCCTTTATCCAATTAGAGATTAACCTACTGTCATCATAACAAGGAGTTTGGGATTTGTTAATTCTCTTCTCTTCTGGTCTATTTTTGGCATTCGATTCTACAGCATCCATAATGATTTTAAAGTTGTGATCCCAAGAGGTAGGAGGCTACCTGTTCAGCGAATACAAGCCGGGCGTTTTTTTTCACCATCAGTAGTGGGTGTTTCAGTTATTCTGTCTGCTCTAGCTCGTTTCAGAGTGCCACTTACTGTGATATATATTGTAAGGAGTCTGCATGTTTTATTCGACTTTTAATTCAGATTTTCTGTTTTGGGCAAATGACACACATTTCCCCTGTTTATACATGTTAAGAAATTTGCTGACTTTGATGTGTCTATGATTTTGAAATTAGACATATTTGGTTATGGTGATAAGCATGAAGCCCAAGTTCAATTTCTAACATTTGGAATTTAAAAGATATAATTTGACATTATTTTTCATTAAATTTCATTGAAATAGCAATAAAACTATAGTGGAGTGATGGTCAGTTGAAATCCTTGACTGCTGCCTTGTGAAAGACATATCTAAATTATCTCCCTTGCTTACCATTGTGAAATGAAGTTGGGGAATAATCACGAAGGTTTTCAGTTTTGGAAAAATTTCAAGACTGTAACTTTTGTTTTATTGTGCTAGAGATCCTTTGCTACCAATTAAGTTCATTTTCAGTCAAGTTTGATCAAATAAAACCCAAAAATATCTACCTTTCGTCAGAGAGTTCCATATTTAATAAAAGTTACCGCTAAACAAAGATCAAAGCACATCCCTTTACGTGTCCGACAAATCAGAGCGTCGCTTTCCACGTCAGGAAAGTTACATCAGAAAATGTTATCTTATAATGCTGATTCCGTCAAAATCATCGCCTCTCTCTCGATCCCTTCAATGGGTTGAACATTTGAACGGAAGAGACGTTGCATAGCCTTTGACAAGTATTGCCATACAACCGCGACCATATATACCCAAACGCAAAAGAAACGTCACACCAAGTAACATTACATGAAAAGCTGTCTTTTAGACACCTGGGTAATTTTTGTCAAAGTTTCTAAAATTTAACATTACCTTGTCAGGAAAAATGAAATTTGATGATAAATAAACAAATCACATGACAATAAAACCGATCGCCCAAACGCATCACAGCAACGACCATGGTAACCCGTTGCACGTGAGTTCCGTGCAAATTGAAATGCACATGCGTTTCCCCATTTATTGCCCTATAAAAACCCACCAAGATCGGACAACATTCATTCGTTATCGAATTGCTACCACATGCCAAGATTGACAAGAAATCAGCGAGACCAAGTCCCTTGGACGATTGCAAGCTGGACAAACCGCCCGGCAAGTAGCCAATGCATTTCAAGTCCACGTAAGGACCGGGACCGTCTTCAGTGGGCAACACAGCACCAGCATTGGTGTCGCCAGCAGTGGAGAAGAGTCCTCTTCTCAAACGAGTACTGCATCTCAACAGCAGATGGCAGAGAGAAAGAGAGAGTCTGGCGACGCCGTGGGGATCGCTATTCGGATGCTTGTGTTGTTGAGAGAGGTCCGAGCATCATTGTGTATGGTGGAATTGGTCTTGCACAGAGGGTCGGCCCTGTGGTCTTCCAGAACATCGGTCCAGGAAGAGGCAATGGTGTCACAGCAGCTCGGTATATTGTTGAGACCACACGCCATACCTCATTTGGCACGTCGCCGCAACCACGAGTTTCAGCATGATAACGTCCGTGCCCACACTGCGAGAGCAACAAGAGACTTCCTCCAGCAGAATGGCATCAGAACCATGCGGTGGCTTGCCCTCAGTCCCAATTTAAATCCCATTGAGCACCTGTGGGACGAGTTTCAAAGACGGCTGAATGACGTCCGACCAAGGCCGACAACTGCAGCTGAACTGCGTCAGGCGTTCCTCCAAGTGTGGGCTCAAGTGCCTATACCCTTCATCAACCGCCTCATCAATTCCATGTATCGACGTTTCACGGCAGTCATCAGTGCACATGGTGGATACACGAGATACTGACTTGTGATGCCATTTTCTCAGAGACTAGTGTTGTGTTTCACTTTAAGAACATTTGACACTGTAATTTCAACCTTGATGATCAGTTTTGCCAGGTTTCATCTTTTAAATGTGTCTCAAAGTATGTTTACAGTGTTTGGACAAATAAGGTTTCTCATGTGTCTATCCATTGTGACGTTTCTTTTGCGGTTCAGATTTTTAGACTTTCCAGGATGTCCTTTTGTTCATTTTTTATTGAGGACAACATCTCAACATATTTTTTAGCGTCTTCTGGAATGGAAGTCGCCAGTTTGTAACTAGTCCTGTAAAGCTCGAGAAAGCTGCTTCCTGACGGGCTAATGTCGACTTCTTGTTAGTTGTTTCATTGGTCAGTCAGAGTTCGCGAAAGGTCGTTCTAAAGTGACCTTTAAGCAAATGTTCTCAGACCTGTGTTTAGCTATAGCAAGAATCAAAAGGTACATCTGATTGTGTTTAATGGCAACGGGTCTCCCGGCGTCAACCCCAAACTTCATGGTAAATGTCGAATTGGGCCGTGTCCCTCTTCACATAGCCATAGCTTAAACAGAAATTACTTTTGGCACAAACTGGAAATACATGATAACCCTCTTAAACTATCACAGTATGTTCTTAGCTTTTTCAAAATATATAATTCTGTAAATAATAGCTGGATGAAAAATGTCCAGAACAGTTTTGATAACTGTGGCATATCACATGTGTTCAATGACCCATATGTGTACAACAAGTGGCTAGACTCTAAAGTTGAGTTAATGTTAAAAGATCAATTTACACAATAAGGGCGGAGTACTGTGTGCAATAGTGCCAAGGGAACTTACTATAAATTACTTTAATCTGTCCAATCCTTTGAAAAATACCTCCTCCTTCCAAGAACAATATATTTCCCGCTTCTAACTTTTAGAACCTGTAACCATAATTTACCTGTACTGACTAGCTGCTGGTTTGGTATACTCAGAAGAGAATGAACCTGTACCCTTTGTGACTCAACAGTTATTGCTGACGAGTTCAACTATATATTTAGATGTCAAGCCTTCGATACAATCCGGAGTAAATACATACCCAAACATTTTTATTTATGGCCTAATCTTTATAAACTCAAACAATTACCGTGTACAACGAAAGTGGCAGAAATGAGGAATTTGTCAAAGTTTATTTCAAATGTCTACAAATACTTTAGAAAGAATACTTAAATGTACTCTTCCCGATTGAATGATCACTTTTATTGAACATATATTTGTTTGTAAAACACACTCTTGTACCACCGTTGGTGGTTTCATGAGGATAAAGAATTGAATTAAGAACTAAGAACTAATCCAATTAGTGCCACTCAACCCAAACAGTATTTGTCTGACCTGCTGTCACTCATCTCACAACATGCAACTTCAGTAGATTGTTGCATAATGAATGCAAGCAGTTAGTCCTGGTATCATAAACATTCAGGCACGTGTATAGTGTATAGTAACATGTTAGCAAGTGACACGGATTCGAATAGTCTGTGACATGTCGCTTCATCCTTCTCGCGCTAGTTTTAGACTGCAACAGGATATTGTGATGTGGAGAAACTAAGCTAAACAAAGCGTTCTTTTTCAATCACTTGTAATCCACGTGTCAAAGGTGGGGATGCTGCTGATTGTTTTCGTCAGTATTGTAGAATACAGATAGGGAACAGAGCGAAAAAATCCTTTCCATATTCATAAGAAAACTCTGCTTAAAGCAGTGTCCATTATATGATTCCGACTACTAGTGTATCATAAGCACGTGTTTTTGAATCACTATTAAATAGTGATGATATCAGGTTGTAGCGAAAGAGTTTATCCTGCACCACTGTTGGCACACGTCACATCCACTTGTAAAGGCAAGTCAACTGTTCACCTGATCATTGGGCATCACTGTGTCACTGACTTGAATAAAAGTGTCCTCCACATATCTACATGGTTTTGTATGGCTGTGGAAAGTGTTTGTCGCGTTTGTGTATCTCAGATCACTGAGTCAAAGTACAAGACAAACGACGTGTTGGGTATATGGTACAACAACTGCAAGAATAACAACTACATGTAAAATGATAAAAAAAACGACCAACAAAATCAAAGACAAAGACAATTCAAACGTTCTTTGATTAATAATCTGTTCAGTCATCATTCTTCACAGATGCAACAGTCAACATTTAGATGCACCTACCTGCTGAAGCTGATTGACATGCGCCATACAGGTAAGTCAGAAAGAAACAAATCCACAGTCCTTTAGTTTTCTGGAACAATAATGAATATGTTCATTGATTACAATGAAAATTTGAGTTCTTGGATAAAAACAAACATCAACTCCGTTTTGACAGGCGGTGACGGTACAAATGGACTACCATGCTCCTCTGTTTCCAGATTCACAAACCTTAAATTAGTATTTGTAGTTTTTAAGATGTTTATGTATTTATGTGTCGTCCCTTTTAACGTTATTTTAAATTGCATATATTTTACTAAATCATGCATAATATATAACAAATGATATTACCTTATACATTCGCAGTAAACAATACCTTTTACTTTCAATGATTTAAAAAAAGATCTCAATGATTTAACGGTTTTTCATAATCTTTAGCATCTTCCTTGTGTCAAATAAGTATTCAAATAATATGAATATGAATCTCAACCAGCGTACAGAAGGTACAGTTAGACAATACCGACAAAAAAGAAGATCTTAGATCACTTTACATTTTAGCTTTAGTAGTTTTGTAATTGCTGGATTATTATTGGTTTACGTTTTACACAGTCACTGTCACATTTGTAAGTATTTACTCACCAATGAACACCGATCATCTGGTATGAAACCCATCACTGACCTGTAACATACAAAGTCCTATATGAACAAAGGAAATATATTTAACTTTTATGTATGGAAACGTATTTATTAAATGCAAACCAGGTATGTATACAGGATGCACTATCTATTATCTATTACCAATCTTAAAACATTAAAATATTTCAGAAAATAACCTATAGATAGATAGATAGATAGATAGATAAAGCACAGCACAAAAGCACAGAATAAAATAAATCCTTTGAAATCAACATTGATACCTGTGAAAGTCTCCTCTTAGAGTCTGACATCAACTTTAGAAACGACATCAACTTCAGTCAAGTTTCCTGTTTCTATTTACCCCCCCCCCCCCCCCCCCCCCCCAAAGGAAATGGTAATCGACTTCCGAAAAAAACGTTCAAATAAGAACATTTACCTGTCTCAAAGATAATGAAGAAATTGAAACTATTCATGAATACAAATATCTGTGCACCATTATTCACTCTAAACTTTCGTGGAAAAGCCAATACAGATATTATTTAAAAAGGGCCAGCAAAGACTTGATTGTTTTCGTTGCTTAAAACATTTTGATATTGATCCGACTATTATGCCCTTGTACTTTAAAATCTTTATACAATGTATTTTAACTTTTGTGTCCATTGCTTGTTTGCTTGTTTGGAGGGGTCTGTCAAATTCAAACAAAAATATGACACTCAAAATTGTAAATAATGATAGCAAAATAACTTCCTTTTCTCCACAAAACATCTGCATGTATTATGAGCAGCAAATTGTGAAAAAGGCACACAAAGACTAAATATTTTCAGAATATGAGCTTTTTCTTCCTGGTTGTCGACAGCGCATGCCGAAAATGCGAAAAAACAGAACCTGTCAGTCATTCATACCAGTTAGTATTCGTTTACTTAACAACCAAACCATGTAATATTTTGTCTAGATATACCACATTTACCAAACTCGTTTGGATTCTAATTTATGCCTCACGAGCTTAATTTCTTTCTCATTTTGTTATCAGCATTTTATATTGTTTTGACGCGGTGTTTCTAACCTATATCGTGAACCTAGCTGTTACTTGATTCTCTTGGCTCTTATGATGCAACAATAATTTCCTTATGCACAATACAGTATTGTCTCATCTTATCTTATTTTTTAACCTAGTGGTTAAAGCGTTCGCTCGTCACGCCGAAGACCCGGGTTCGATTCCCGACATGAGTACAATGTGTGAAGCCCATTTCTGGTGTTCCCCGCCGTGATATTGCTGTAATATTGCTAAAAGCGGCGTTAAACCATACTCACTCACTCACTCACTATATGTTCATGGCTGTTGTCACCGGGTCGGTCACGGTGGGTCTTGGCCTGTGATTGGGGTCTAATTGTTCCCTGGTCTTGCATGATCTCTTCAATTATGTGAATACCGTGGTCAGAACTTCAACTGGCCAGTCGGCATATTTCCCCTGCACATGTTCTCAGCACATTCTCTTAACTGCATCACAGAGGGTAGGTTCATTTAATTATTACTTTATTTATCTGGAAATTTAGGTTAGGTAACCATGTATTCTTAGCATGGTTGTTGTATACAGTGTTTTAGCCAGCATGTATTATGATACTTTAATTCAACTTACTTGTATATTTGATTGACATATAAGTCAAATGTTGTCATTTTGTTATATTCATATAAACTGATTAGAATTGATATATGTATATGTATCATGTATATATGTATAGTCTTTTGTAGAAATTATAATGCTTATATTCCATATGTGTTAGTGTAACTGTGGTTATGGTATATGTATATATAGTATATCTATTTGTGCAGGTCTATTCACTGTACGTCTGTAAGAGACTGTCTGAGGGTCGAGTTTCCGTCCCTGAGACGAGGTATGGTATTTATGTTTCATTAATTGTGCATGATTAACTCTATAACAAGTGTAATCAAGAGGGATTTGCTGGCAGAAAGAATGAACTATAAATCAAAATGTATTATTAGTTTTATTCTGTACCTTTTTACTGTCCATACCAATGATATTTATTATTAGGTTAGGTATGTTTTAGGGCAGACCCGGACGACCTTGTAGTACACTCTCCACGCTCATTCGAATAAATACCTTTTAACCCTACACATACTCCCTGATCATTTAGAAGACCACGAGTACCTCTGTAACCAAGAGGTTAGTTTGTAGCATTGTTATAACAACTTGTAAATAGCTTTTAACAAATACTAGTAGTAGGCTTCTGGCTAAGATTTAGCAAAGTAATTAGTATATCCGACTTGGCACACATATGATAACTGTATTGAGAACTATACAGGATGCTCAATGGTTCTTTCTCCTTTTGTTTGTAATGATTTAAAATTATACAATGTTATTGAATTGAAATAATTCATAAATGAGCGCAGAGAAACCAGAGAACAAAACATGTTTTTCCCAATATCTTTTTCTGAGGCGATCCAGACGCGTATTTCAATATGGCTGCATTAGCATGTCAAGTTCAACTTTATTGACCTTGTAGTTTCTGGCAGGATGGTTTATGAGCAATCTAATCTGTTTCCGCGCATACTCGTGACTTCTTATTCTCTGGCGTTGGCGTTTATATTACAGGTGGTCAGGTGAGCGATGAATGCACAATTACAAGGGAATGAAATGTGATCAGGTCACGTGTGACCGAAAACATCTTCTCGCGCACTGTAAAGTATTTGTGACTCACCGGGTGAAGAGGTGTTCCACCAATCCAGGGGAGTTGATCCCAGCTGATGACAAGTCAGTAGTCGATGATTGTCTCTGTGGAGAAGTTTCTGCAAGGGCAAAGTACGAGTACTTGAGCAACACATTGATGTTTATTGTCATACCTGATAACAACTTTAATGATTACACTTGATATGATCACTGAGTTTGGTTTATCGTCTTGTTTTTAACTATATTTCAGCATATCACGGCATGGCGGGAGGGAAGCCAGAAGTGATGCAAACGTTTACCACTTTCGTGACACCCATGTGCTAACGAATCTAGAAATGAAACCCACACCAAAGCTGTTTCAGATTTGCGTTTTTTCAATATTCTATGTAAGTGAAAAGAACCGAGAGATTTCACCATTAAGAGACATGGTCCCCACAACGATATCTGCCAAAATATACTGATCATAGTCATTGTCAATAACTTTCTTTAATACTCCCTTTCTACATTTACAGCTGCATCACTTTAAGCTTTCCTCCCACAATAACCTGCCGCGTCGTGATATGACGGGAATGCTGTTCAAAGCAGCGTTAAAATCAACTAACTCACTCTACATGTACACAAACAGCCCAAAGACAAACATGGGGCTTTGATATAACGGATGACGTTAAAAGCTTCAATGACAACGGGTCGCCGGAATATAGAGAAAAATCAACCCAAACGAATATGTCCTGATAAATATTAATCAAAGTCAATATAAAGTAAAGCTAATGTTTATGTCACCATGCCTTATGTCACGTATTGTTTCAAAAGGAAAACTACAAAAGTTACATACCTATTTGTTTTGCAGCTATATCCTGACCATTAGTATTGACATAAGGCAGTGTTGAACAATGATTGTAACTGTGTTACATTGTTTCTGTTGAGATTCGGTAGAAATGCATTGCATTGTATTTATTTTGTCTGGAATATACATGTGTTGTTCTATATAATGTAAACAGAGGTGAGCAAGTTATTATATTTAATGCTCAAAATTATTTGTTAACACCGTGGACTGAGGTGGAGGGTTAGAGAATGCTCTGGAAGGTGTTTGGGCTATATAAGTGGAGCGGGCGCATCCCTGTCTCATGTCTCACATTTTATCTGGCAATGCATCAAGACCAGCTTTTGTGTGAAGATCATTCTTCACCTTGGAGTCCTAGCATAGGCCTATTAGTACGGTCAATATAGTGTCAAATCCTACCTTATCAACCACAAATTGCAACAGACATGATGTCTCCTGTTTCATGAATCTTTTTTAGTTTGGGTATGATCTTCAGGGGGTAAATCAATATAAAATACAAAATAGTCTGAAAATTTAATGTTCAATCTTTTGTATAACCATATCATGTTAGATATCAAATGAAAGCTGGTATCACAAGGAGCCATTTTGTATCTATTTTGTATCAAAGTAAATTAATCAGTCTTTGAAACAAAAACAAAATAAGAAGTGGGGGAAAAAACATATATCCATATTTGTTTCCTGGGAGAACTAAAGGATTTGGAGAAAAGATTAGAAGTACATGCTTGACAAGAAAGGACAGTTGGAGTGAGACAGTTTTCTTGAAATTAGAGTTTGCACAAGACCTCCATGTTGTTGATGCTACATATCATCAAACATGCAGTGTTAACTTAAGGACAAACAAAGATTTACCCAATGAATTTTCCCATTAAGATGATACACACAGCAGAATACCTGAAACAAGTTGATGATGAAGAGCTCTCAGTTCAAGATCTAATAATAAAGATGCAAGAGTTTCAAGGTGATACTGAAACCTATGGATTTACCTACATAAAACAACAACTACTAGTATAATTTGGTGACAGATTTTTCATAACGGAAATAAAAGGGAAACGAAATGTTATCACACCCAGAACAACAACATCAAAGATATTACAAGAACATTTTCAAAAGCCATGACGTGCAGATTCTGAAAAGGAAAAATGAGACCGTTACTAACAGCATCTAAACTCATAAAAATGACATGAAATAAATGAATGTCCAAACCAACACATATCCCACTCCAGACGAGCTTTCTGACATTTTGGGCAGTGAAGACTATCTTCCCTCATCATTGAAACTTCTACAACAAACCCTTTTTGTTGGAAGGGATATCAACTTGAAACTGGCCTCTATTGGATAGGCTACTGCCCAAGCTGTAAGACCACGTCTTCTCAGAGTCCCTGCAAATCGGCTTACCAATACAGTTTCATCATCACGTTGCCTCAAATATCTGATTGACACCCTTTCAAGTCTTGGATTTTGCAGTTCTTACTCCGAGGTAAAAAAGTTTGAATACTCTTCTGCTGTGAACCAGGGTTGTTGCTGACAATCATAATGTCAGGACACTGGACGGCATAACACATACCATGGGAAGGGCATCATAGTAACCAAACACCAACAACCTATTTTCAAAACAATAGTCGATTCAGCTGAAATTTGAAAGATTCCGATTTAGTTCTAAAAACAACCTTTTAAAATGAGATCAGAGCAGAAATACGCCAAGCTTCAAGAGTCCGATCCAACATCATCGATTGATTTGTTATGGAAAACTGTCTGGCTTCTTCAGCCTTCACTACCGGCCTGATCGGGGAAGATGCAGACAACTCACAAGGGATCATATCCTGGACAGGTATCCGTAGTCTTTCTGCCAATGATTGACATGGATACTACTGACTTGACATGTATATATCAACAATGCTTTTTGCGTGTGACCAGGCAAGGATGTATGACATAACACCTGTCCTTAACTTTGATCAACCGCTGTTGTGGAATGCTATGATGATTATTCACAGAGAGCCATATACAAGTGACTTATGGAGCATTGTCCTAAGACTTGGTCGCCTGCACACACAAATGAGTTTTTTAGGATGCATTAGCCATTTAATAAAAGGATCCAGACTCTTAGAGCTGTTGGACGTCATCTATGCAACCAATGCAGTAAAGCACATCCTTTCAGGAAAGGCAATGGCAGGAGCTGTTAATGCACATCTCCTTGTAAATACCAGTATGAATGCTTTGCTGGTAATGAAGGTTTTTTAAGTTTCACTTAACAAATCTAAACATAACTTAGAAGGACAAGTCCAAGACTATATCTTGGAAGCTTGACGTGGTGATTATTAGGGCTTTAAGACGAAAGGCTGTAGAGCTCTACTGTAATTGTTCGATTTATTATAAAATTATTATTTATTATTCCGCAGTTGTTTTGTACCAGAGGCAGCCGAAAAACCACTGACTCGATTTTTATTAAAAAAATGTATGTGTTTCTAGACCGTTATGTACCAGATTCCGCCAAAATCCACAGGCCCAGAGTTCTTTTGCCCAATTGATCCGCAACCGCTTCTCAGATTACTTTCAAACTTGCTGCTGGAATGCTTTCAAACTTTCTGAGAATAGTCTCCATACATGACAAATAAAACCTTATTAGCCATTTTGGGATATCCTTTTCAGTTGCGGCCATATTCGATTTTGATATTTTGACAATTTTTTTCTCATAAATTTTACTTTAAAGATCATCTCTTGTAAAGTTCCTCACAAAAAGTATTGAAGTGGAAAGGAGGCCGGAAATGGGTTAAGAGCACCCTTGGACAGCTATCTTGTATAATACCCACACCAAGTGGAAAGTTATTCCAATAGCTATAAGCTCGGATTATGCAATAAGTGTTAAATTGTCACAAACAGGCTACTGTGATGTTTATGTAATAGCCCGTCGACTACCATCTACAAATGTGTTAATGCGCTTGATGAACTGATGGATATATATGATAATCTGTGTGAGTTAGGAACAGTTTTTATCTTGGGTGATTTAAATGCTGATGTTTGTAAGGCCAATCTAACAGCACGGGATAACCTACTTAGAAATGTTATAGAAAATAGACATCTGTTACATGCAGTAAATATGGTACAATTCGGAGGACCAGGATATACATGCAGAGCAAAAGATAACACATCACGAAGCCTTATAGATAATATTCTTGTATAAGTCATGGCTACCGAACTTCATTTCAGACTGTTACATTATAGCAAGCTGTCCTTATGAAATATCTGATCACTTTCCTTGTCAAATTTCTATATCACAAGAAGGGCTAACAGTCTCTAAAACTGTATAGTTTTGAAAGAAACAAGTAACTCCATTTAAATTGAAGAGGAGCCCCAGTTATATGGGAGATTCCGAGATGAACCTATTCTATGGATATTTAAGCTGCCACCCAAACCGATCCAAACGGGACCCGAAAGCTTATTGTACATGTATGCTATATAGTCACATGGAAGTGCACCAGTTTTATACATTGTATTCTTAAAAGGAGAGTTGTTGAATTTAATTATCAAATGTTGCCTATACACTTATCTGGACGTACTACTCATTGTTCTATTTATGTCATCCTATATATATATATATATATATATATATATCTATATATCAGATATACATTAACGCATGTTACCGTTCTAAAGTCATACTCTCATATAACCTTATATTGTTCATAGTATCAAAGTTTAATCAACAATATCAAGAGCAGCAATTTAAACTACTGAAACACCCAAACACAAGGTTCTTATCAAGCGCTAGTGCAGACGTGATGCATCGTAAAAACTGTATCGTGATGTCTTCAGAAATTCAATTTCTTGCAACATTTATACTATGAGATAGTAAGCCTAACGCTTACTCACCAGTGGAACGTAGCTATATATAAACAATATCGCTAATAGAGATATCACGTATTTGAATGATAATACTATTGACAAACACTCATTATTTTTGCAGTGACGATATAACACTTATACACGTTTATTGACGACTTTCATCAGTTTTGCTATTCATTTTAATAACTTTGTTTTCACATATACAAGTAGCAAAACCCGACTAGCCTGCCATACATACTTATGGGGCAGTTTTCAATCTTGTACTGACTTACTCTGATGTAGCGAAGCTTATTGGCTTGGGTGTCATACCCCGTTTTTCTGGTAATCCTATTATTACTTCATTTTTATGTAATGACACCCTGTTCTCTGGATCACGGCTCCGTGACTTTCCGTAACAATAAAGATGAACATTCAGATCAAGTACATGAATGAGTTTGT